ATTTTCGGATTTATTTTCCTATAAAACGCCCCTCTCCATAAAACTAACTAAATGTTATGTGATAAGGGACGTAACTATGCACGCACCACACTTCCATCTATGGTGTTGTAGAAACATAATCGGAGTGAACCGGGATTCGAACCCACAATCATAGGTTTCTGTCGTGCCCAAGGGACGCAACTCTGCACAGCGAATCGCGTCGCCTTACACGACTGGGCCACCAGTGCCCCCAACCGTGATAATACTATTCAAAGTGACGTTAAACCCAATCTCACGCTTGTGCCAAAAAATAATCCCATCTTAGGCACTGAGCCGGTTATGAAGTATAGTGATCACGTGAAAAACAACGTTTTATATTTAGCCATTTTGAATTAAAAATACATTATTTAGAAAATGGGATTGTTATGTTTCAATTTAAACCACAGTACTAATATTAGGCTATTGACGTAAGCTCACTCCGACGATTTCAAGGTGACCCAGTGAAATGTATGACGTTGAAATCCGTTAAGCGTAAAACAAAAGAATATAATTGCACCTTTGTTTATTGCATAATCATGACAGGATGGAACATATCTACGTAGTTAATAAACATAAGCATTGACAGGAATCATTTACCCACTATCCCAGCTGTTAATACTGTCACATCAATACAGCTGTCCTATTCTGTCGACTGTTGACATGACCGGACATTCATCCAAGGGAAATTCCGCGAAACACAATTGCCTAGTTCCCAGAGAGGAATCTTAACGGACCCGTCTCGACGAAATATAAGCACAGTACGATGTACATAAAAGCATTTGACAATACGGTCACTGCAAATCCGAATGCTCTGTAGAGGTATGACCGCCTGTAACCAATCCAAAATGTTATCCTTCCGATAACAAAGAGGAGCACTAACAAGGGTATCGCTTTCATCTGGTCTTCTTTCAAGTAAGTGCTCAGCATCATTTGACCAAAGGAGTTCATCACCAATTGTTCAAGGGTATTCTGGACGTAATGACAGTCGACCAGCACGTGATGCTCTCCTCGGCCGTTGATTGGATCAATCGCCGTCGTCTGTAAACGTTTCCTAGCAACGGTTCCTATCCCCACAAAAAGTGTTAAGACCGACGCAATCTGCCATTGCAATGTATAGGCAACTCGGTCGATCAGTGTTGGCAACTCCGGAACAGGAATCGGAATGACGAAATACCCGAGAATGAAGACTGCAGTACCGAATGCTAATGCTAAACATATCTGTGTCTGAACCTTCTTCCTTTCGCTAGGATGTGACTGTGCCATATTGTTGACTATGCATACGGTTACTGAAACAAGCACATCCGCTCAAGCGTCGATACAGCGAACATTCAAGAGATCACAACGTTCGGTAGACACAACAGGTCCACACGGCTGAATACTCAAGTCAAACCACAAGTCTACAAGTCCTGCACTGTTATAGGAAATACTGTCCCACAAAACGAAGTCCCTAAGACAGCTGTCTCACAATCAGGGCAGGATACGTCTTCAGTTTCACTATCATAAACGTATACGAGTGTACTGATTGAGCAATCTCTCGTTGAACGAGAACTGGTTTTGTGGGGTAGATTTCTATAGCAACAGGGCATACGTGCATGATTCGTCACCGGTGAGAGTTGGCCTCACAACGCGTCCTTGTGACCGACATACTCACACGGATTTAGTAAGCTGGTGTGAGAAACTGGGTCGCCATAGGGTGACGGTGATAACCCCACAGCTTGTTCACTGTGTTGACACGATATTTCTTTGCGAGGGTGCTACCGGGCATTTACCTCACTCATGACACTCCAAAAGAAACACGGTTAAAATCTATTAAATCGCATAACGTTTGATGCCATTCGTGATATGTGAATATCGTTGCTTAAACATAGATGTTTATTTATAACACGTCATCATGATGCGCGATGTTCCATGCTATGACCTTAACATGGGGGTTTCACAACTCCGTACTCGCTTGCACTTATGTTTCAATGTAATTTGTGTGAGAAGAGGACATGCTTAACACTGGTCCATTCATTTAATTTTCTTTGCTATTTTGTCCTTCACGCCTAATATAATGTTTTGGTAGATATTCGAAACTGATTATTCTCTGGTATTGACTACAGTAAACTACGGTTATTACGAACTCAAAGGGACCACTAATTCTAGTTCGTTATAACCGTAGTTCATTTTAGAATTTATACACGATATATGCAGCAAATTCCCGGGACCAAAAAACATTACGACGTCGTTATATCCGTCAGTTCGTTTTTAGCGTGTACGTTATAAAAGTAAAGTACTGTATTCGAATTATTTGTAGTGATATGGATGCGATAAACCCATCCGATAAATCTGGCATATGATTGATAAAACTATGTTTATGAAGTCATCGAGCAGGAACTATTTAAAATGTATTCTATACATGCATGGATGCGATGGCACTCACTCACTCACATAAATATGTCTCCAACAAGGCGGTTGGGTTGTCAGAATGAATCTTACAATTACGATGTTAAAAGATACACATATACACCCGCCCCTTAAGGGATACCATATCAGCATGTTTACCCATATTGCTGACCACCACCCCCACCACACACACACACACACACACACACACGCGCGCGCGCACACACACGCATACACACACACTCACACGCGCGCACGCACACGCACACACACGCAAACACACACACACACACGCACACGCATTCACACAAACCCACCCCACACCTCCGCGAGCAACGTTGATTAAAATCACCTGGTGTGTGACCTGTGCGTGTACATAGGACGACGTGCCATCTCTTGTGACAGCGGGTACTTCTATTTCAAGTAGTCATCTAAATGGGATATCTATAGTTCAAGTTTGAGCGTTGAGACCAGTAAAGCCAGTTATGTTTCTTGCTTAGCTGTAGAATCCCGTTATGTATAGCCGTAAATGGGTTACGTATTACCGGGAACCTGGGTAGAATGATTGCTTGTGTATAGTCGATGAAAACCCAGTTAGCCCCGGGAGAGGCGCCTTCTCCTTGGTGGGTGTACACAAGTATCCGGTGAATCATATCGTCAATATATTATGAAAAAATATTGTGACATATTAACGTCGCTATCACAGGGAATATAACATATTTATGGCATGTAAGTCTTATGTAACGGGATTTGCAGCCATGTGAAGAGAACGTGCAATGGTGATTCATGTCTAACATGTCATCATATGTGTGTATATTATATCTCACGTGTATTGCTATGAATACCCTCGACCCATCATCCTCGCATACCATGTGTATCATACCTTATTTGTATTGTTCAAAATACCCTAAACTCATCATCCTCGCATACCAGGTGTATCATACCTTATTTGTATTGTTCAAAATACCCTAAACCCATCATCCTCGCATACCAAGTGTATCATACCTTATTTGTATTGTTCAAAATACCTTAAACCCATCATCCTCGCGTACTAAGTGTATCATATCTCAATTGTATTGCTGTAAATACCCTAAACCCATCATCCTCGCATACCAAGTGTATCATACCTTATTTGTATTGTTCAAAATACCCAAAACCCATCATCCTCGCGTACTAAGTGTATCATATCTCAATTGTATTGCTGTAAATACCAAAGGCCCATCATCCTCGCATACCAGGTGTATCATACCTTATTTGTATTGTTCAAAATACCTTAGACCAATCATCTTCGATTACCAAGTGTATATCTCAGTCGTATTGTAATAAATACCTCAGACCAATCATCCTCATCTGTTCATTACGAAGTGTATACTATCTCACTTGTATTGTTATAAACACCCTAGACCCATCATCCTCGATTACGAAGTGTAAAATACCTTATTTGTTTTGTTCAAAATACCAAGGGTATCATATCTCAGATGTATTGTTGTTAATACTCCAAACCCATCATCCTCGCATTACAAGTGCTTCATCTCTCATTTGTATTGTACAAAATACTCTAAACCAATCATCCTTGCATACCCAGTGTATTATATCTCATCTGTATTGTAATAAATATCCCGTGGACACGCCAGAAACCTATGATTGTGGGTTCGAATCCCGGTTCGCCCCGATTATGTTTCTAGGTTTGTCAGCACCATACCAGTGCTCGTTGGTTTCACCGAAGTGATAAACGTCTGAGACCTGCATCACTTCGGGATTTCCTCCCACATTAAGCTGACACGCTGCGATATAACTGGAATACTGTTAAAAGCGGCGTTAAACCCATCTCACTCACTCACTGTATTAAATACCCTAGACATCCTCGATTACCAAGTGTATCTCATTTCTATTGTACTCTGGTTTTAATTGTTTGTTGTTTAACGCCGAACTCAAGATTCCAGCTATGTGACGGCGGTCATGTTCTCTGTCTTAACATTCCTCATAACATGCTGGTTTACCCTCATATCAGAAAGGACATCCCTAGAGAAACAACCCTGAGCAGTCTTTAACTATAAGTCTTTGCTTGGTTGAATACACTTCTGTACAGTCTAGCAGTACAGCACCGTCAGTATAATCAACATAGATTTTTAACTTCTCTCCAACCATCTTGGCGCGTGTAAAGTTACGATAAAGGAATGCCCGGCTTTCATTATGGGTCTTGACATGCCTCACAAGAGGATCGATCATCAGACAAGTAGATGTTTGCAAAATACACAGTTAAGTTTAGTCATGTGGAGCCTCCACGTTAATCAAACGACATCCTCCAGACATGATTGACATAAGCGGTAAAGGGGGAAACGGTGTCTGACACGAGGGTGTCTAGCTATGAGGCTGTCAAGACCATAAAGTTGTTTATTACGTCATGTCCAAACCTTTAACTTTGTATTCAGGGAAGCTCAAATTTAGATCAATATTTTTTCTTTTGTTGCATTGTACTTCGCTTCCAAATAGGTTTTATATGCTTGGAGAATGTTTCGCTTGATGAACATCGCTTCAGGCAAAGTTCTTACCAGGAGATATCTTTCCTCGTTTCGTTTAGTTTCATTTCAAACTGGTCTTTCTGGGGTGTTTTATTTTCAACATAATTTTGTTTGGAGGTGCTTCATTCATTCAGCTAATGTTGATGCAGCAGGATCGACACAACAACCAGCATGATGCAGCGTACTGTCTGTGTTAGGATGCAAAGATATATTATTCATTCATGTTTAATTTCGTTTCTTGGAAATGATTTGTTAAAATGTTTCATTGGACTGCGTTGATCAATTTCGTTGTAAATCATATTTTTTAAAATGATTATTTCTTATTCAACGTCCGTTACTTAAGTAGGTGAACAATGTCCCGTTACAGCAGATGAAACATTGGTTCCGTTAGAATAGATGAGTCAATTGCAATGTCCAATTATAGAGATGTATCAACGTCCCATTAAAGTAGTGAATCGATGTCCAGTCACAGTGTGTGTATCATGATCCGGTGATAGAGCCTTTCAACATGCTCCCAAACTGTCTCAGATCCGTGAACCCTTTTATGGCACATTTAGCTCCGGCAACCTGGCATCCGAATTGAATGGCATCCCTCAAAACCTTGCCAGAGGACAGTGCTGCAATGACGCTGCCAACGAAGGTGTCACCGCAACCGAGCGTGTCAATGACACGTGCCTGCAGAAACGCTTTTATAGATATGACGTCACCATCGACTGTCTTCCCTGCCGCACCGTCCTCGCCCCAAGCACAAATTGCCACTCCCCTATAGTGAAAAAATGAAGAATTGGTTATTCCATGAGTGAGAAAGTCTAACGCAAAGACGATATGTCTCCGGTTTGCTTGGGTCAAGACTTAATTATATACAGACAGCCGTGATACCGCTTCAATATTGAGCCGTGAAACTACTGTCACTCGAGAATTCAAATAATTCTGAACATTTACAGAAAGGACACATTACATGTGTGATAACCTGTTTCTATGCAGAGAGAAAATAAACAGTAGCTACATAAAGGATTTTATCACTAGTTTTGTGTCACTCAAGAACCCTGAAAAGTGACGTGAAGGTTAAATTGCGTAAAATTCTCTTAAACTCATTTCCCCGAAGCAAGGGGGTTACCTGACTCTAAACGTCCACTCTTGTCGACCTAGAATGGTATTATGGAGTTATATTTTGGCTGGACTAACTGGACTCTATGCAAAGCCCAATTAAAATCGACATCCGGTTCGAAAACTCCCATGCAGATTTCAGTCGATTGCAAGATTTGTAAAGCATGTGTACCGCCAACTCGGCCTCAACAGATATTTTCCAAATCTTTTCATGTTTTTAATCAAGGTGCTCACGTGATTTGGTGCACTTCGCGAAGTAAGACCCGTTTTATTACATATAGATCTTGATTATCGATCAGATCGTCTTGACTGGGCGCCGCCATTTAGCTTGAAGCAAATGCAAGTGATATGAGAGGTGGAATCTGATTGGTCAATAGGAGGGACATAGAAGGGGCATAACTCGTAATAGCCACTGGTGGCGCTACGATCGAGATGCTAAAACGAGCCTCACACAATGTTTAGGCCGCACTTCAATGGGGGGACTAAGTTGGGTAGTAGGATTAAACGAACTGTTGAGTCACCCTGGCTAAACAAGCATCACACAATGTTTAGGTCGCACGTCAGTGGAGGGACTAAGTTTGAGAGTAGGATTACCCTGGTTTGACCTTCTTGCTGTAGAAGTCCACGGATGTCTCTTTACTCGTGAGGCCTTTAGAACGGGACCACTCCTTACTGAAGAACACGTAATCCGGCCAGCTGACAAGAGTTTCTGAACATCAATTAAATTCAACATAAGCAAACGCCGTGACACACGTCACTACCAAAATTTCAACCTATTCAAATGGTGTATATACTTAATGCATGTATTATTATTTTGTCGTCACTTATTTTCCAATCAGTTCGTGGACATCTCATAGCAATGAATAATGACACAGTTTGTGGAAATGTTCAGTCTCATTTATTGCTGGGAATATTCATGCAGGGCGGGTTTCACTGGTGTAAGAATTAAATAGATTAACACAGTTTGCTACTGATTAAGTTGAAGCCTTTAACTATGTACCGCAGACCTCGAGTTTCCCCATGTAATTAACTGCATTATGCCACACACCAACGTGCCATCTGTAAACATGACCCATGAAGTTAATCGGTAAAAATACCCATTTCCTGTCTGTCATCTTTAAACACGACACTCTTTAGTCAGCTTTGGAAATAGCCGCCTACATCGAATTATCCCCTGCCGCGTCAGACCAAAAGACGTTGAAAGATGGTACTTGTTGTTACCCTGTCTGGCGCTCGGCATTAAGGGGCTAAAACAAGGACTGGTCGGCTCGAAGTCAGTACACTGTATCTGATTGTTGTATTCACGTTAGACTGCGGCATGGTATCTCAGTGAGCTAGCACTGTAAATCGGCAACAGTCCGGACTAGCACAAGCAGCAACACACACGCATACACGCACGCACGAACACACACATACACACACGCGCACGCTTACGCACACACACACACACACACACAGAGTGCCCATGTCGGGTATTGAAACCGCCTTTTGTGTGACCGGTAAATGCTTTAACCACTAAGCTACCCCACCGCCCTGTATGTCCCAGGCACTTCGAGGGGGGGGGGGGGGTCAGGGTTCTTCCCGTAGACATCTATTTACCCAATTCAGGAAAGATGACTTTTTCAATTTCCATGGATGTTTTAATTCGATGAAGCGGATCCCTTGACTCATTGTGTTTCTTGATTTTCTGGAACATCTTCCTCAATTCGTCTGTAGTAGGGCGACCCTGCGATAAGAGAGAAAATGAATGCATGATACCCTCCCTTGTCGAAATGCCCGTCCCTTCAATCACGGGACCATTGGCCATGTGTTTACCCTTAACAATATGTGAACCTGCTTGTGCATACAACGCCACCATTTCATACTTAATGGGTCTCTCCAGGCCAACTATAATCACGGTCACATTACCACATGGTAAATACAAAACACGACACACTAATTTTAAGGACGTCTTAAGGCCTTATCAAGAAATTGATCTTACTTGTCAACTAAGACCAAGTCTGCAAACAGTTCAGTTTGTTTCCATGTTGGTTGATGGCTTGAATGTGGCCAAATCACTCGCGCGACCTGAATTCTCAGTCAATAGCACAGTGTTGCCTAATACCCCGGTAAGAGTCCCTGTCAGAGTAGGTTCCCCTGGTCACGACCCAATATCTGCCCTCAGAGCCGACACACGTGGGAATCTGATAGGGATTCTGTGTGATTGTGTGCCACTGTACCAAGACAGCGTGGGCCGTTCATCATGGTCTCAGCCAATGGATTGTGTGCCAACGTCACCGACTTGCCTAACACAGCTGGATTACTTGGAGGTCGCCGTAATATAGCTGAAATCTTGCTGACAAACACAACATACTTACAAACGTGAGTGAGTGAGTGAGTGAGTGGGTGGGTGGATGGGTGAGTGGGTGAGTGGGTGAGTGAGTTCGATTTTACGCCGCTTTTAGCAAAACATGTATTCCAGCAATATCACAGCGGGGACACCACAAATGGGCTTCACACATTGTACCCATGTCGGGAATCGAACCCGGGTCTTCGGCGTAACGAGCGAACGCTTTAACCACTAGGCTACCCGACCGCCCCTACTTACAAACATTTATTTTTATGTTTACATTATGTATACTACTTACAAACATTATGTTTAGAAATAAATTTACATGAACGACCATCAAGGTCATAAGTGCCAAGGCCACACAATGTTCCTAAAAGTGCATGGCGATGAGCTGTTTTGGATCACCCGTGTACAGTTTGACCAAGGAAACCCATGTTCACTGCAGTGTTCACTTTTACCTCAAGGGGCGGTCGGGTAGCCTAGTGGTTAAAGCGTTCGCTCGTCACGCCGAAGACCCGGGTTCCATTCCCGACATGGGTACAATGTGTGAAGCCCATTTCTGGTGTCCCCCGCCGTGATATTGCTGGAATATTGCTAAAAGCGGCGTAAAACCAAACTCACTCACTCACTCACTTTTACCTCAAAATGAATCCACTTGTAGTCGCTGCTTAAGTCAACCTTGTCGAAAGTCTCAAATGTCAGTTCTGGCAGACCCCTGTGAGGTAAATGATATACATTCATGTCAGGAGTTTTCTGTACGAACACATGAATCATAAAGGCGTGTAGAATTTGCAATATCATTTAGCGGCATGCATTCGACGAGAATGCTGCACACAAACACGAAGTTTGAAGGGTATTATTCCCTGACTCGTTGGTTCAATGAAAAGCCCCCTGGGCTTTGCACACTAATGGCTTTGACACCATACTAAGCTGGCACACCGCGAAATAATGTACAAAAGACTCCCAGACCAGTCTGAATTTAATTCATAATATATATTCAGGGAATTATAAGTCAAAAATAGAATATGAAAAAAGATAAAAGTTTGTGTAGATTATTAGTTATTGAAACAACGTCAGTGTATTGCAAACTCTTTAATCGCCATATATATAAATCGACGCGCATCAGTTCGATCCTCGAACGTATGAATGTAACCTGATTATAGTTGTATAGTTTATTTACTGATGGCATAAAAACGTCTCCTATAGGGGAGGTTAGGAGTGAGTGAGTGAGTGAGTGAGTGAGTTGGGTTTAACGCCGCTTTTAACAATATTCCAGTTATATCGCGGCGTGTCAGCTTAATGTGGGAGGAAAGCCCGAAGTGATGCAGGTCTCAGACGTTTACCACTTCGGTGAAACCCACGAGCACGGGTATGGTGCTGACAAATCTAGAAACATAATCGGGGTGAACCGGGATTCGAACCCACAATCATAGGTTTCTGTCGTGCCCAAGGGACGCAACTCTGCACAGCGAATCGCGGCGCCTTAGACAACTGGGCCACCCGTGCCCCCAGGGGAGGTTAGGTGAAATGGGTTTGAACGTTGCGTTCAAGACTATGCAACTTATATAGCGATGTGCGTGTGTGTGGCTGCTGGTACTAGTCCTGACTGATGCCGACTTTATAGTGCTCGCCCATTTAGATACCATGCCGCAGTTTAACATAAATACCCCACTCAGACACAGTATGCTGACACCGAGCCGACCAGATCTTGTTTTAGCCTCACAATGCCGAGCGCCAGAAAGGGTAACAAGTATAATCTTTCAACGTCTTTTGATATGACGCGGCCGGGGTCCGGGCAGATGCTCTATCCATAAGACCACGGGGGCGGTCCCGTCTTACATAGACATCCCGCATACGAGATCAGTGCCTTCAGTCAAAGGGTCTTGAAGCATTGCAAAAAAATGCAATAAAATATCTAGAAACACAACATCTAAGATAATGATCATGTTGAGGCGATCACATCACCCACTGACATACCTACCGTGTGGTCAATGTCGCCCTCACACTATAGCATCACCGTAAGTTCTGTAAATTGTTCTACTTACCTAAACGTGTACCATTAAAGCAACATTTGTCTCAGGGAGAAAAAGTGAATAATAATTCGCCAGATGATCCGGATTATTTTGAGAGAGAAACTAGCAATTGAATAATTAAATTAATTTTGAAGTTTGCCTAATTTGCCACAACACACTTTCATTCCTGGAATAAATACTATGGAACCTTCAGCCACATCGTTCAGTTTCAACAGAACAGCATCTGTTAGATACAAAAAGATCATGGAGTCGTGATATCTCACATTAACATCCATACATGCAATCCTCACCGAAAGCTGTCAATTTAAACCTCGATCGACATCTGAGGCGAGTCATACAGCTAAATACACATATAGTTCTACAACCTACCTGATAAGTTATCTCACCTACCACGACGTCATGTGAATCAGTATCCCCAGAGGAATTAACGCCAGGGTGGCATTCGACAGAAAGATGGTCTGGATTAGACAGCGCTTCCACCCAGCCACCCGGCGCACAGGGATCGCAGAGTTCCTTTGTTAACTTCACTACAACCTGCGACATTACCTCACGGCACCTGATTCACGATCTCGTACTCGACAGTGTCACTCGCTCATTGGAAACATAATGCCACTACACATTATTAAAGAAAATAAATAGTAAAACCGTCCCTTGAAGTTTCTTCAGCAACCCATGCTTGTCGTAAGAGGCGACTTATGGGATCGGTTGATGCATGTTATCGTATCCCAGATGCTTAGATCGATGCTCATGATTACTGGATTGTCTGACTTCGACTATTTACAGACCGCCGTCATAGCTGGAATATTGCTGAGTGCGGCGTTAAACAACAAACAAACAAAGAACAAAATAAAACCACGGCAGGGTAGCTGTCAAATTCAAGGCCTTTTGGTGACTGAAATGTAAGGTTTTTTTCAAAGCCGGACTGCCAAGTACAAGGCCATCTTGTATAATTACACTGAGAAACTAAACATGACCACGATCGTATATAAGTACTGTTTAGCTCAGTACCCCCGAGTGTCTCCTACCTCTCTGTGAACACTATCGTCCTTGTGCCGGTCTCTTCACTGGTGATGGTTGACGTCACGGGGCAGTTTCCCACATCCGACGTCACACAGTGGTCGGTGTTAACACCTTGTCTCTCGAAGTCGGACCGTAGCCACCTGAGAAAGACGGAGATGTAATCCCATCATAGCTTAGAAGGTGTAATGAAACCTCTCGACGTCATTGAGTATATGTCAGTGATTCCCTCACGGGTGTTTTCAAAGCTCCGGGTGTTATCCGAATGTTGAATCTTTTTCTCCTACAGAGGAGAGCGCTAACCCACTTAATTACACCACGAATTCGAACATGATGCACTTAACACAAAACTGCTAAACCCTCAGTGAGTGAGTGAGTATGGTTTTACGCCGCTTTTAGCAATATTCCAGCAATATCACGGCGGGGGACCCCAGAAATGGGCTTCACACATTGTACCCATGTCGGGAATCGAACCCGGGTCTTCGGCGTGACGAGCGAACGCTTTAACCACTAGGCTACCCTGTGACTAAGGCTTACTCCCTTCTAATCGAATCGTACAACCTCGGCACGTGCTCATTCAGGCTTGTTGCAAAGAAAAAGCATCTGAAACATTGGCCATAACACATCTTAGTGCACATATATAGATATATTGTTAAAGACGTTTTTTGGGTAATGATCTAATTTCAGCAATCTCCTCGGTACATTTTCGGTAGTCCAAAGTTATCCGAGCGGAGCGTCCCGCGGTGTAGTGTTGTAGTGTTGTGCTTAATTAAAAATGAAATCGTTGCTACACTACTTAAATATTGCCGATAACGATATTATATTTAACAAATAAAAGCGATAAAATTCATTTTATAACCATAAGATATCTCTGCCAAAAGCACTCGACAGTACAATTCCGACTATATCATGAGTATGTGTCTATGAATCACTATCAAACCGTGACGACACTAGTTGCTCGCGACAAGGTGAGCATATCCTGACCTACCGGTAGCACCCGTCACAAACACGTGCAAAGGCAAGTAATCTGTTCGCCTGAAAAAAAACCAGGAACATGTTTAACTAACAAGCTCTTCAGGCAAACCATCAGACGTACCTCCCTTCGTTGTCGTCAGCTAACACCCCCAGATATTCCGCCGGCAATCCCAGAATGCTGATGATAGTTGAGCTATTAGAAGCGTTTCCCCCTCGCTGCCAGTAATAGTCTGTGCACCTAAAATGTACACATTTCACTAAGTGCCACCTAGAGATTGACAATCATGTATTTGCTGGACAGTTGAATAAGGTCGCAGTCAGCAGTCAATATTCAGCGGCCGCCTGTGGAGTCTGGACCAGACAAAACAGATTGATACCAAGAGCAACGTCTCACGTCTGAATAACTGATCAAAATTAGTCGCCTCCTAACACCAGAAAACGTTACCGGGGGGCAGTTCTCCTGTATTTAATTAATCCTTTATTTCAGTATTAAGACGTCAGGCTAACATGGCTGAAGTACAATGCATACAATAAAGGTATTTTGAACAAGGGTGCAACAGCAATTATTTACAACTGTGAAGATGGGTGATTGATGTCATCTTTGATGTAAATTGGTATATATTTCAACAAGAGTTTGCCACTAACGTGGCTATATCCCCCGCCCCTGTTGCAGAATTAATGACATAATTAAATCTAAACAAACCCTAACCTTTTTTAACCGAGGTGGAACTTGTCATGGAAATTGTAAAAAAAAGACGAGTTTGGAACCTAAGTCCATCTTGTTGCCGTGGAAACGTAAAAAATAAAAATTTCTAAAATTTCTAAATAGCAAAAGGCACCAGTTCAGCATGTACCTGACAGACCTGCAAAGTTTGATGAAAAAAATATTGAACGGTTTATGAGTTATGCTCCGGAAACGAACCCTACCCTCACAGAACCTAAGTCCATCTTGTTGCCGTGGAAACGTAAAAAAAACAAAAAAATTCTAAAATTTCTAAATAGCAAAAGGCACCAGTTCAGCATGTACCTGACAGACCTGCAAAGTTTGATGAAAAAAGTATTGAACGGTTTATGAGTTATGCTCCGGAAACGAACCCTACCCTCACAGAACCTAAGTCCATCTTGTTGCCGTGGAAACGTAAAAAACAAAAAAATTCTAAAATTTCTAAATAGCAAAAGGCACCAGTACAGCATGTACCTGACAGACCTGTAAAGTTTGATGAATAAAATATTGAACGGTTTATGAGTTATGCTCCAGAAACGAACCCTACCCTCACAGAACCTAAGTCCATCTTGTTGCCATGAAAACGTAAAAAATAAAAAAAATAGAAAATTTCTAAATAGCAAAAGGCACCAGTTCAGCATGTACTTGACAGTCCTGCAAAGTTTCATGAAAACATATTGAACGGTTTCTGAGTTATGCTCCGGAAACGAAACGTGACGGACGGACGGACGGACGGACGGACGGAGCCCGTTTCTATATCCCCCGCCAACTTTCTTGGGCGGGGGATAAAAAGCTTACGTCAGAGGGCTGCAACATTATTATCAAACAACATGCAATCCTTGGGTTAGCATAAGTATTGACATTTAAAAAAAGAACATATGTTGAACGAATATTAACATACGCGGGGCATATAAATACAAAATGTTACATGTTAGTTACATAATGAACAAAACCGAAGTATCTTATCAATGCCCGTTCTCCTCCCTATAGTATGCATAATTTCAGGTTCACAAATTCTGAATAGAGCATACGTCTATTTTTGTTTGATAACATACGTAAGAATGGCTCTAATGTAAGTCTAGTTCTAACACTAAGATGTAATGAGCCTGTATTCCTCACGATGATTACACTTTAGCTCCTGCACAGATCAATCGATGATGACAATTGTATCTTATACCCCCATTCCACTAGGCGGCGATCCAGGGTGATCTACGCGATCTGAAGGAGCGCCATAGATCGCCATATAATGAGGCGATCCCGTTAGTCGCCTTTTACGACGAGCATAGTCACCTTTTACGGCAAGCATGGGTTGCTGAAGACCTATTCTATCCCGGAATAGTCAAGGGTCGTATGGCTAACAGTATGCATGCAGCTATATAGAAGAAATAGGACAATGATGGTAATTCATAATCAAGTAGGAATTGAAATCAATAAATGTTAACGAAAGACAGATATCGCGCCGTGACTTTATCTTTATCTCGTAGACATTTGGAACTAGGTTATCTTTTTTCATCGCCGACCTCAATATGGAATATTGAGGGTTCGTGCGTTGATGAACACTAAGTGCGTGTCGACTTGATCAGTTTTATACCTGTCGTAATACTCGCCTTTGATCCGTGTCTTCTTCTGGGTAACTCTTTACAACATTGACCATATCAATACACGCGAACCCAACACACAAAATTCGCCTTGACGTATCCATCATCGCTGTGAAACCAAGCTTATGACGCACGATTCCTTTTTGTACTGAGAGTTGAGAAGGGAGACAACTTCACAAGACTATCGCGCAAAGTGTTATTTGCTTGTTCCTTGTTGTGTGGACGTGCAATCAATGAGTTCGAGCCTCACATACAGCCCTGCATCCCGTCACAGTGTTTTTTTTCTTCTGTACATGCGATGTATTTTATATATGCTACTTGTGTATCAGGACTACTATGAAATAAAACAATACGTGTCCAAAATATTAGAAATGTGTTTGCACACAAGCGAACTAATAGGTCAACTATGCGCGAATGTGTTTCCATGTTCAGGAGACCGAGTAATCTCAACAGTGAATGTTTGGTCGTCGTCTTCATATAATTCATTGGTCGGATATGATAACGCTTTGTTCAATACAGAGCAATATTCCCATTACTCGAAGGCTCAGTCTAATGGTCCTCTTTCATACCCAGTCCCTTTGATATGTGCATAAACCTATCAAACAAATAGACCGAATCCTATTTTCCAAACTGAGATTAATTGTATCCGATTTCCTAATATGGAAATTTGAAAAACAGTCTAAATTGGTGGAGATTATTTGCTAATTTTTGTCCTCGATGTAAAAAGTATTACAACGAAAGAAGTGGATTATTTAAATATGTATTATTTGTTTACACCGCATGTGTCTGCAGCAGCTGCTGACTTCCAATCAACCTGGACATCTTGAGAAACATGCCAGATATAAAAATAATAATTTAGCAAACAGAATTATCAGATATACCATATCGACAAATACATTACCTTGACGTATCCATTATCGCTGTTAAACAAAGCTCCTTACTGTAATAGCCCGTTCGCGGAGCTCTCCATACTATGCCACCAGCCACACACCTCTCTGCAGTACAGCACAGTACAAATTAAGGCGTTTATTTACAGCCATGCTTTGACTTGAACTATCATCCGGCTTCAGTAAGTCACGCATGGATTTGAACTCGCAACTGATTTTAGTCAATCATTTCTTTACTTTTTTTATCCTTCTGTAATTTGATTAAAATAATTAAAATATAAACATCATGATCATACGTATCCTCATCTTCCTGAGGCAAGAGAGTTAACTGACCTTAAAAGTCCAGTTTCCACCCTTGCCGAACTAGGCTAGAATTCCTTGGTTCGATCGTAGCGTAGACCAGTGGCTATTACGACGTATGTCCCTTCTATGCCTCTCCTATGGACCCGTGAAGATCCGGGGTAGAATAGATCTTCAGCAACCCATGCTTGCCGTAAAAGGCGACTATGCTTGTCGTAAAAGGCGACTAACGGGATCGGTGGTCAGGCTCGCTGACTTGGTTGATGCATGTCATCGATCCCAATTGCGTGGATCGATGCTCATGATATTAATCACTGGATTGTCTGGTCCAGACTCGATTATTTACAGACCGCCGTCATATAGCTGGAATATTGCTGAGTGCGGCGTAAAACAACAAACCAACCAACCAACCAACAAACAAACATGTCCATTCGTAGTATGTGAAGGTTATTTATATTTTCATATTTTAACACAAGCCGACCTATCATTATATTGAAAATAATTGTGAGAGCGCGTTTGCGTTATAGGTCACAAACCATCTTACACTAAAATCCTAAAGTGCATTAAGAGTCAAATTTTCAAATAAGACAATAAATATCATGTTCGACCATATACAGTTTGTAATGGTCATACACTTAAAGGATGTTTTCATTTCATGATGCTTCAGTTGGGTATCAAGGTAGACTATTTTCATTTTCTTAAGTCCAATAGGGTGCGCTGTGCACTAGTCTATTTATAGATGCATGTAATCAAGGCATGTAAGGCATGCACAGAGCCCCATGGCAGCTGGCTAGGTAGCCACAGGATGTGATAAAAGTGGTCAACAATTAGGTAAATACAACAGCATTTTTACTCATATCTTTAGTTTTTTATGTATAATTGTGATATTATGTATTTCAATTAATTACGTTGCTTCTGGTAAATTACATTTTGTAATTACAATAAATTTCCTAATGTGTCCTAAAATCAATGTTCTTTTGCAAAGAAATGTTTTTGAGTATAGTTATTTGTATTTACAATCTAGAGTAATGGTATTTTTGCTTTATTTGCAGTCAATCATGAAATGAAGTGAAATGAAATGAGATGAAATGACATGAGTTGACATGAAATACTCATGAAACAGAATAAAATAGACAGAAATCCAAAGATGGAATTGTTTTCATTTGAAAAGTACCAGTGTGATTTTTGAGGTGAACACAGTTGGAAGTAATAATTTACTGCATAAATGGTAAATTGAGGTTTACTTAATATAAAAAATATGCTATTTTAGGTGTAAAAATATGTGCTTTTTCCTTAGGTGTAAGCAATTGCTTTTCCGCTAGAATGGTAGTTTCGCCTCAGCTTACCTTATAGTTATCGCGCCTGACTTGCAATTTTTTGCGCCCTCTAGCAGACACACCAAGCGACAACCAAGACAAGATCATTAGGCACAAAACCACTGACTTGCTATGAGAATGCATATCCTGGACATAATATGATGGACAGTGTTTGTAATGCTAGGGCAATGAATTAGAAAGAAGATTGTCTGAAGTGAAATCCCGTTAATGTGAGAGGTATTTTTCCAAATGAAACAGACCCGTGAACTACGGGATCGAATAGGTCTTCAGCAACCCATACTTGCCGTAAAAGGTGACTTTGCTTGTCGTAAGAGGCGACTAACGGGATCAGGTGGTCAGGCTCGCTGACTTGGTTGATGCATGTCATCGTATCCCAACTGCGTTGATTGATGCTCATGATATTAATCACTGGATTGTCTGGTCCAGAGTCGATTATTTACAGACCGCCGCCATAAAGCTGGAATATTGCTGAGTGCGTCGTTAAACAACAAACAAACAAATGAAACAATTTGCACCAGCAAACTGATGGATTAACGTGTTATTTATATACAAAAACGGTATTAATCAGTAATCGTCGGTAACGCGAATCAGCACTATTGGGGTATGAAAACGATGTGTGTCTTGCTCGTGTACATGTTCTAGATAGGCCAACGCAATGTGAGGCGCTGCGAGTGTTCATGAGTCGATTCCCGAAGACACGAGTCGGGTCATGTGTATTTGTACATTGAAAACCGCGTCAATGCTCTAGACAAATAAACACATTATTGACAAAAATATGCCCTGTGGTAGTTCACAACCTTCAACTTACCGATGTCTGTCGGGCTTCCTGGGGAGTTGATTTATCAGGCACAATACAGTGTAGGATTTCTTTAACATTTCTTTATTCGAATTTTTCAATTCATGCATTTACATATATGGTCACTTCGTACAATGGAAATACTCATAAGCCTACGTTCTTATCGTAGTTAGTAAAATAGATAATAGTGACATGTTACAAAGTGCGTCGACTTCGTAAATACACCTCTAGAGATGAATGAACTCACATCTATCTATACAATGACGGGCGGCGGCAATGAGCTAGTTACAACATAAGAAGCATAACAATTTCCTTTGTATCACGGGTAACAGAAGTAGAAGACAGTTCTTGAAATAGAACATGACATACAGACTAGAATTTTACGAACGTGGTGTTTTTTCAAGTGGAAAAGACATTGCATTTATCAATGTTATATGACTTGTAAACCAATAGTTAGTGTGTTCCGCAATCCGATTGGTCAGTCTACCTTGTCGAGTATCATCCGATTCCCACAAATCAACACCAGCCTCTTAACTGCGTATGGATACGTAGATAAACGGTGTTAGTTTTCAAAACAAAACAGAATGCTTGAAGATGAGTTCTCAGAGCTGAAATTCAGCTGGGGATTCCAAAAGGAAGTTGCTGGTTTTGTCATGGGTGATGAGACGAACATCTGAATTATGAGGGCAAGTATTTAATGATGACTGACGTCCCTACCAAGTCTATATTTACATTCATTCCATGAATATTATCCTGATGATGTAACAGCGTGCGTCTGTAAACATGCTGTTAAAGAAGCCAGCTGATATAAAGAAAGTGTACATCACGATTGATAGGTTTCGAACTTGACCAGCGAGTGAAGCGGACATAAATCTTGATGTTGAGATACACGGCCACAAACCAAGTGTTCTTCACCCCAACCGACCGACTACCTGAGTGTAAAACGGTTTAGAGGTCAGGCCTCTGTACCGTTGTTAAGATATATTTGTTACCCGCAGTTCCTCGATCCGGGGTAGAATTGGTCTTTAGCAACCCATGCTTGCCGTAAAATGCGACTGTGCCTGTCGTAAGAGGCGACTAATGGGATCGGTGCTCTTGGTTGACTTGGTTGATGCATGTCATCGTATCCCATTTGCGTGGATCGATGTTCATGATATCAATCACTGGATTGTCTGGTCCAGACTCGATTATTTACAGATATAGCTGGAATATTCCTGAGTGCGACGTTAACCAACAAACGAACAAAACAAACAAACGCAGTTGCTCCCCTTACCTAGACCATTAAACAGTCTGTACTGATGCCATAATCTCTGTATCAAACCTCGATTCTTTAATAGTTCCCATTCGGAACAGGCATTTGATATTCGTACATACAAAAATCAGATATGCTCCTCTGAATGCTTTGCCCGCTCGTAATAATATTATGTAATTACGTAACCACAGTACCGTGAAGAGCCGGGGTAGAATAGATCTTCAGCAACCCATGCTTGCCGTAAAAGGTGACTATGCTTGTCGTAAGAGGCGACTAACGGGATCGGGTGGTCAGGCTCGCGGACTTGGTTGATGCATGTCATCGCTCCTATTTGCGTGGCTCGATGCTCATGATATCAATTACTGGATTGTCTGGTCCAGACTCGATTATATACAGACCGCCGTCATATAGCTGGAATATTGCTGAGTGCAGCGTTAAATAACTAACAAAGAAACAAACAAACGTAACCACATTTTTCATCGAATCCCGATCCACATCGTGATTAAACTGAAGACTACAAATCCGCACTCCCAATGTCCGCTGTAGCATTTTACAGCCCACTTCCACATCTTACTATGGCTGCAAAGTAGAATATTTTTTCTATGCACTCCCTATTTCTTTCTTAATAACACCTCCCATGGAAATTCCGGGTTAGAACAGTTCCCTAGCTAACAACCTATGCTGGTCGTAAGAGGACAGGCCCGGTGACCTGGCTGAAAACGTGCCCTCGTACTCCGACGCCGTGGATCGTTGGTCACAATATCGATCACTGGATTGTCTGGTCCATGTTCGTTTATTTACAGGCCACTGTCATACAGTTGAAATATTGCGGCGTTAAACAACAAACAAACAAACTTAATGGGACATATATATGTTTATTTATCCTGTTTTCTCAAGGGAACGCTCATATTATTATAGTTATAATACTCCCATGGCAACTTTGTACGTACATGCATGTTTATTACTGGGATTATATCATATGCATGTGCTTATGAATCATTATCAAATAGTTATGATACCAGAAGTTTGCAGTGAATATGTCTAAGAAGGGAATGTGTGTAATCCCTGAGATATCCGAGAATCTATGTGATATCTGAATCACTAGGGGAATACACACACACCCTTACAGTTTCGGGTATCATACGCTCTCCCTGATCCAACACAAAGCTTCTTTTAGACATATTCCCTGAAACTATTTTGGGGGACCAAATGATCAAACTTGACAAACAACAAATTTATAAAAATGCAAATGAAGATATATTTTACATGTGACAAGAAATTTCATTTAAGATATTGCAGATATATCCTCGCATTACCTAATTAAGACGTTGTCCCTTTTTCTTTTTGTTAGCCACCATCAAACATAGGTGACAGTATACTTTCTTTTGTCCGGCAGTTTGTATACAGCACCAGACCACTTCATACCATTCCGTCGTTTGTTAATTGGTCGCGCTCTTTTCCCAAATTGCCATAGGTCTGGCATGTTGAACAGTATGTCCACGAGTCCGCCGCTTTTCTTGACCGGACTGAACAGAGTGTTTATGGAAACAACAGTCTTCATATGCTCCTATATAACCAAAAAAAAACATGAAGAAGATATTGAATATTTTGCAAACTCAAAAAGCGTGAGGTAAATATTATTTCATTGGGCAAAGAAAACTATTTCTGTTAAAATGTATTCATAAAATCATCCTCTAAAAGTCGTCGATCGACGAAAAAAAAGCTTAACTGTCGGTCTACTTTAAACTGGATATTTTAACAAAGCGCGACAATGCGACAAACGCAAATAGTTCATCAACATAATGCGCACTGTCGCATTGCCCCTCGTTGCCTAGTAGATCACGGTGGTTCACTACGCTGGCCGCGTCATACCAAAATGGGGGGGGGGGGGGGGGGGGGGGGGGGGAGGGGGGCACGGGTTGCCCAGTCGTGTCTAAGGCGCCGCGATCCGCGATTCGCTGTGCAGAGTTGTGTCCCGCCAGAAACCTATGATTGTGGGTTCGAAACCCGGTTCGCTCCGATTATGTTTCTAGATTTGTCAGCACCATACCCGTGCTCGTGTGTTTCACCGAAGTGGTAAACGTCTAAGAGCTGCATTATACTTCGTGCTTTCCTCCCACATTAAGCTGACACGCCGCGATATAACTGGAATACTGTTAAAAGCGGCGTTAAACCCAACTCACTCACTCATACCAAAATACTTCAAAAGATGGTACTTGTTGTTAACCGGCCTGGGGCTTGGCGATAAACTTGAACGCAATAATAAACCCCATTTCACGCCACCTCGTCATTGTTGCCCCAGTTCGGTTATGTAGCGAAGAGTCAGCTTGATGTGGAAGGAAGACGCGAAGTGATCCAGGTCTTCAACTTAACCACTTTGGTGAAATCCACAAGCACGGGTATCGACTGAAAAACCTAGATGCCTAGAGGACGAGACTCTAAGACGACTGGGCCAACCGTGTCCCCTTATCGATCTGATCTTTTTTGGATTTTTGTGTTGTTGTTTTTTGTGTGTGTGTTGTTTTGTGTGTTTTTGTGTGTTTTGTTGTTGTTGTTTTTGGGGTTTTTTTTTTTTTTGGGGGGGGGGGGGGGACTTAATTCAAGGAAAGGGAAATAGGAAGAGTGTGTTTTTGCTATCAAAACACTTTGCTTTATGAAAAAAAAACATAAAAAGGAAAATATATTTGTTTTCCTTTAGATGAGGCGGTAAATCTACAACACGGCATATTTTGACTGTGAAAAATGCCGCTTTGTCGAATTGTAGGCCTTTGTTAAAAAAAACTAAAATATTATTCAAAGACCGATACTGTGGCCATCTTTCCGAGGCAAGGGAGTTAACTGACTGTAAAAGACCAGTTTCCACCTTTGCCCAACTAGGCTGGAATTTCTGGGCTCCATCGTTGGGACACCAGTGGCTATTACGAGTTATGTCCCTTCTATGTCACTCCCATTGAACAATCAGATTCTATCTCTCGCATCTTGTATTTGCTTCAAACAAAATGGCGGCGCCGAGTGAAGACTATCTGATTGATAATCCATATCTATAGTGTAATAAAACGTGTCTCACTTCGCTCGCTAAGTGCATCAAATCACATGAGCACCTTGATTAAAAAAGATATAAAAAGATTTGGAAAATATCTGTTAACGCTAAGTTGACGGTACACATGCTTTGCAAATCCTGCAATCGACCGAAATCAGTTTACGAACCGGATGTCAATTTCGTTACGCGACTTTGATCAGACTATGTATAGACTTGTTAGTCCAGCCAAACTATAACTTCATAATTCCAGCCTAGTTCGGCGAGGGTTGAAACTGGACTTTTAGAGTCAGTTATCACCCTTGCCTCGGGAAGATGCAATGAGACAATTGGTGAAAATGTGTCGCATTGTAGCGATGCCGCCATTTGGTTAATTTTGACACCTTTTACGTTTTGTAAAGACGCGACAATGTTCTATACGTATATACTTTGAATTGGCGGATCTGTAAATCAAAAAGGCCCAAGACCTTTTGTTCAAATTGTATAATGTCAACAACGAGGATTCACACCTACCTCATATTTGTCATGCCAGAGTTGCAAGTGCTCGCGCCCTCTAGCGGACACACCAAGCGACGGCCAACACAAGATAGTTAGGCACAGAAGCACTAACTTGCTATGAAAATGCATATCCTGGAATTAACAAGGCAGAAAACATGTTAGTGATGGCAATGAAGTAGGATGAACATTGTTTAAAGCGAAACCACGTTAACCCGGGAGGTACATTGTACGTTTCCAAATGAAATAACCTGCTTTAGGAAACTGCTGTATTAATTAACCATTGTGAAAAAGTAAAGTGTTAACTATGTTTAAACACCTTAATAATAAGTAGTCGTAGGAAACGCGAGGTTGGTTGCCTATTTGGATCAGATTACTGGGAGTTGAAAAAGGTGAATGTGTTGCTCTTGCACAGGTTTCTGGATAGGCCAGCGCAATTTGAGTTGCAGAATGCAGTTCTCCACGAATGAGAACTGTCCCGCAAAGAGATGTTCAGTTTGTTTGTTGTTTAACGCCGCACTCAGCAATGTTCCAGCTATATGACATCGGTCTGTAAATAATCGAGTGTGGACCAGACAATCCAATGAATGACATCATGAGCATCGATCCATGCAATTGGGATACGATGACATGCATCAACCAAGTCAGCGAGCCTGACCACCCGATCCCGTTAGTCGCCTTTTACAACAAGCCTAGTCGATATTTAAGGCAAACATGGGTTGCTGAAGACCTATTCTACCCCGGATCTTCACGGGTCCAAGGAATGCAGTTCTCCACAAATGAGAAACATTCCATAAAAAGCTGCAGATTTTAGGGATAAAGAGGGAATGAGTGAGTTTAAGTAAGGCCATTTTGAACAGTATGTAAGTTGTATCACGGCGTTTCAGTTTAATATGCATACTAATAATGTGCATATTTATATAGCTTGCTCAATGCGCTACTTTATTATCCCGGTCTCAACTCCCTGGGGAGTATACAACCCAAGCTGCCTGTGAGGCACGAGGGGTGAACAAAGGCACATAAGGAAACACTACACAGTGCTTCAGTATGGGACAGGACCGAAGCCCTAAAAACGCTCAGAATTAAGTTGCTGAACGCGGTCACCAATCCAACTACTCTCCGGGACCAACGTCGCTTAACTTCACCTGAATACTGACCTGTCATCACCCGAAGTGATGAAGCGTTTAGACGTCATGGTGCTCACAAACCTAGGAACATAATTTGAACTCGTAAGCCTAGGTTTTTGGTGCGATGGGCGGTAGAGAAGGAAATGTCAATAATGGAGGAATTGAAGCGGAACTGCGATGATGTAAGGGCTCCTTTCCTCCCATACTTTATCATAGACTTACGACAAAGATCGTTTTGTGGTGATTAGTAGTAAACATGAACTTACCAGACGTCGGCTTTTGCACAGCAGGTCCTACTCCAGCTAACTGTTTTGTGGCTGGCTTCGGCTAAGTGGCGTCTCCAAGTGACGTCTTCAAGCAACAGCTGCTTATTTTGATTGAGACCTTTGTGACAGTTGTGACGTTAGACATCGCCACACCTAGAACTATTAAATGTCATTGGCCGTGGAATATAAATTCACCAACGGGGCCCAATCGTGTTTCACACATTTCACATCAGTCCACATTTATCTTTGTATCACAGACCCGTGAAGATCGGATAAGAATAGGTCTTCAGCAACCCATACTTGCCGTAAAAGGCGAATATGCTTGACGTAAGAGGCGACTAACGGGATCGGGTGGTCAGACTCGCTGACTTGGTTGATACATGTCATCGTATCCCAATTGCGTGGATCGACGCTGATGATGTCAATCACTGGATTGTCAGGTCCAGGCTCGATTATTTACAGACCGCCGTCAAAGAGCTGGAATATTGCTGAATGCGGCGTTAAACAACAATCAAAAACAAATTGTATCACGGAAAACAAATAGAAGCTAGTTATTGAAATACATTCTTTAAAAACAGAAACGCCTAGTAGGTAAGAGAATGTTGATTTTGTTTATTCATGAAATATTCAATACAAATGCAATATTTGGGATTGCACGATGTTATTTAAATAAATGTTCATAAACTGGTGTAGTGCACAAACACAACCGTTTTAAACCTTTGTAGCTTTATACAGAATTTTTCTTTTATAAGACTGCACGAAAATGTCATGGAAAGTAAAATCAAAGCAGAATGCACGTGCAAGTTGTGACCATCATGTGCAGTAACAATGACTATAAAAGATCAAACGGCAATAAACATTTTGCCATAAGTTTGTCGACTTACTAGAAGTGGGAAAATGCCGTTGCTGAATGCTGCCAATCGCAACATCACCATAGGACGTCTTGAAGCTGGAGAGTCCCAGTCTGCATTTGCACATCATGTCAACGTACACCAGAGCACCATATCTCGTTTATGGGATCGGTATACCCGCCTCAGTTCAAAACTAGAACAACTGATCGTCCGAATAGTGATAGATCAAGATTCACCACCCCTGCTTACGATCGCTACACCCGGGTCTTCCACCTACGAGTTGTTATCGACATGCTACTGCCATCGAGACTGCAGGGTAGGATATGGTTTGGGTAGGATATGGGACCAAACAACTAGGAATTGTCTACGAGAAGTGGGAATTAGAACCAACAGAAGATTAGTATTTGTCCCTGTATTGAGACGTTTGCATCGACGATAACGTATGCGAAGAAACAATACCCTCCAGGCATTGACTCTGATAAACTGGCGGCGACGAAGATGTGTTGCTTGCATCGCAACCAGAGGTGGACACACACGCTATTGATTTGTAAATTGACATTTTGGCATGTTCATGTTTTTTTTTATGATATCACGCATTTTCTGCAATCAGTATGGCAAATTAAGCCATTTGAACACTTACAGGAGTCTTTTATCTGTTGCAAACCGAAATTGTTAGGATTTGGTAAAAAACATAACTTTGCATTAAATCTTATTCAATGTCACAGGAACTTTTGTTGTTCAGTATATAAAAATGCTGAAAATTCCTTTAAATTAAATTAAGATAAACGTTGAGAATCTACAGTTGTGAATGAACGTTACCCACATTGTCCAATATGCCGACTGTTCAACTAGCCCAGCCACTTTATTGAGTTTTCCCCTTTAAGATTAAAATTGCGTGGCGATATATAGACTTCATTTAGATGTTTATTGTATATATCATATAAATAATCAACAGATGGTGATCGACACGCAACATTGTCATTGCCCCAGGTTCCATATGGCCCAATGTAACAGTAGATTTTCATGGTGATGGTCATCTGTTCTCAATATCTTGAATGACCACCACTTGAGACCAAAACTTAGTGGCATTGTCGTCCTATGGAAGCAATCAGATTCCGAATTATGGCCTGGTGAATGTTCTCCCACTCTCCCTACAGTGCCAACTGTCGAAGTTCTGTGGTTGATGCTGACGGGCTCGCAGTCGTTGATCCAATAAATATTCGATTGGGTTTAAGTCAGGAGGCCTGGAGGGCCATGGAAGGCCCTGGATGTTGTGATTCCTGTAAAAGGATGTCTGTCCTGCCGCGTGAGGTCGGGCTTGTTGGATATGACGTTCGTTGTGGCAAAAATGGGAAAGATGTGTGGCCGAAGAATCTCATCCACGTAACGTTTTGCAATTAAATTCTTCAGAACTTGCACCAAGTCTGTTCTACCAGTGTAGGAAATGACTGCCCACATCACCACACTACCGCCACCAAATCTATCCACTTCCTGGATGCAGTGTAGTGCAAAACGTTCCCACGCGACTCCTGTAAACACGACGCCTACCATTCGCACGGCGAAGTATAAAACGTGACTCGTCACTAAACTAAAATTGTCTCCATCTTTGTTGTGACCATACTCTGTGACCTCGACACCATTGACGCCGCAGCCGACGATACAGGTCCGTCGAAATGACACCTCGAACTCGCCGTCTAACGGCGCGAAAACGGTTCCTCGCTGTCTGGGCTGGTATCCTAATCAATCCTGGTATCGCCGTAGTTGTGGAGGTGATGGTTCTTTCACGTAAGTGACGTAGCTGTTTGAATCTGTCCTGTGCTCTATTAGTGATATGTGGTCGACCGGATCTGGAAAGGTTCTATGTCGTCCCGTGTGTCTGATGATGGTTCCAAGTCTTGTAATGGTGCTTGGTGCTACGTGGAAAAACCTGGCTACAACTGAAGCTTTTCCTATTTGTAGTCGGGCGTTGTTGCGTTGCTGTGTTCGGCTTACCTCAGTAGTTGCCGGTTTTGTGATGGCATGCAAATGAAAACCAAACGTTTTTGTACCTCAACAAGTGATGGTGCACGTGCCTGTCATGTTGGTGGTTGTTTCCTTTTTTTCACCAATTTTCTGCAGTACCTCATTCTTTCCACACAAATCAATCCCCAATCTATGCAGAAATGACCAATTCAGTTTTGGTATTAAATTTGTATGGATGTCGACAACACTCTGTCAGATATTTAAGATATAACTACCTTTGCTTTACTTTTTTGACGAGTATTTTACCATTAAACAGTACTTTCAGTTATAAATCATCGTTAAGTATCCTTTTAATCCGTGGAATTTATTTAGCTTCAGTAGTACTTCTAGGGTCCGGCATTCTTAAACTAGCATCCTCAAAATTCATTATTACTATATAATATCTCTTTAAACATTGTTTGGTTTATTATGCCCCTTAAAAAACATTATTTTACCATTTCTGTGTTATTTGGATTTGGTAACATGGGTAATATCAAAAATTTTCAAGACCATAATCATATTTGTATTTTGATTTTTTTAGTTTATCCTTGAAGTTTCTTTAAACCCTTTCTGATAAATTGTGGGTAAATGTTATGCCTAGAATTGAAAAATATGTTTGTTCCCAATGTAATTTCCATTTTTGACAGAGGACACTCACTTCACTGATTCATGTTGAGATCATGTCTAGACAATTAGACTTTTACTTGTATTTATTTTTAAGCCAGAGAAGGATGCATATTCACCAAGTGTTTCTGGGAATCGAACAATCTCAGACAGGATACCGTACCGTTCAAAACAAGTGACGTGTCATTCGCGAATTGATACACCGGATATTTTGTTTTCGCAATTGTTTTGACTTTTCCGTGGGGACAGTTTCGGGTCATTATTGATAACATTTCTACACAAATGAGGAGGATAGAGGATGCCCTTGTATGCAACATCTAGTAATTTCGATAAACGTGTGATGCGAAGCCATTTACTAATATACTGACGGTTTTATTAGTATGAAATGTTCTAATCCAGTTTATTATTAAATCTCCAAAACTGAAAAAGGTTAATAGTAAAATTCCTGAGATTTCTATGGTTTCTGCATAATCTGTTATATCGTAAACAACTCTTGTACATTCTACACATGTCTATTAGCTTGGAAATCTTTCTGAAGAGACGTTTAGCAAAGAAATTGTTTGGGTTTATCTTATTTAGGTATATGTAATTATATCCTACTTTTGACTAACTGGTTATTCTCCTTTTTGATAGCCATAATGTAAGGATCGAAGAAAAAGTTTTTTAACGTGTTTCCACTCGTGTACAGATATTTATCATCACAAACTCGCTCCCACAGGAGATATCGCTTTGGTGAGATCAAGCGACATCTACATTGTAGATATCGCTGCAATGAAATTGCAGCACAATGCTTTGCAGACCATTGTGACGTCATGGTAAACTAATATCACAAGTACTTCAACGCTATTTCATCTCCCATTTTAATACAACAATATCATAAATTGCCATTTCGTTATACCCAGTTTAAACGTATGATTGAGCCATAACTGCGTATATAAGAGTTATTAACAAACGATATAACAATGTGACTATATTAACACAAACACAAAACGTGTGTTGTTTTGATGCAGACATGTTTCCAATCCAATAACAAGGTTCATACGGATATGGAACACTAAAATGCAAAGCCAATTCAAGGCTTTCTTAACTGTCATATACAAGCTTTTTTAGTTGAGTTATTAGCCTTAGTCTGTCAATAAGTTTTTGGTAAAATCCAGCATACTATATATTAGTCCTATTTCTATTACTATTACTAAAAAGTAGTATGAACATCACACATTTTCTTACAATTTTTATTTTCACAACCAACAAATAAAATAAATTAAGTCTGTCATGAATTTTAATATTTTTATTAACAAATATATGGAATTTTGTACAAATTCAAGGCGTTTCAAGCTAGTTTGATTTTCAAGGCTTTTCAAGGTTGATACTAAAATTCAAGGCCTTTTCAAACTTGTATGAACCTTGAATAACTAAGCAAACATATTTCTCTGATAATTAATCTGATAAAGTACATATGAGCTTAAAAACGTATGGCTGGCATCGAACAACCAAGTTCTTTGCGTGTACATGGCGTCTCATGGCATCACAGTCGACAGCGCATTGTTCAGTGCAGCAAACATTCTTGTCAAAGGTGTCGTGGGTAGTTACTGCACTTTGTAGACTTCGCTGAAGAATTCTTTGATGAAATCGTTGATGATAGCCTTGTCTGGTACCGACGCCATCATGCCATACATACCAGCAGTCCCTTTCTTAGACAGCGACTGGTTGTTCTGAAATGACGGAGATTAGCGTTGTCTAGGGGATACTAAGCTGAGGGGCAAGGGGAAGTGTACCGATTTATTTTTTGTGTGCAATACAAACATGAAAGAACTTTTGTTAAATTGGATTATGTCTTTTTAACCACCACTGATTCCTGAGACAGTTTGTAAAAAAGTAATCTGGCTAGGTAATGTTGTGTAGTAGTTAAGTCTACGACTTTGTCCTTGGCATTGTAATATGATCAAAACGTAACATACCAGGTTTGATTAATTCTGGGAGTACGATTGGCATTTGTTACAGCGACTGTACAGCAAATGTTGTTTTGTTTCCTATTTCTTTGTTCACTTTGAACACAGACCGAATTTCATAAGTGAAACAGTTTCCCTACCCGGCATTCTTTGACGGAAGACTCCAGGTCGGTTGTGAAGGCGTCCGCAGAATACTGGTGATGAGGCAGGATTGAGCAATGGAAACTGTTTGGCTTCTGTGTTCTCTCAATCTTCCAGCCTGTTGGTGGACAATATACGTTGTGGGGAAGTGTTAGAAACATCATGCAGGGTGAGGTTAAATACAATCGATTCTTGTTTCTTATCACTAACGAAATCCATTGAGACAAAGAGATGGTCGGATTGTCAATAGGCGTGACAGGATCCTCTGATCCGAATCCGAGATTATTTCTGATTCTTACTTTGGTTTATCAAAACTATATCCGAGCTCGTAATTGACTCACTAACTCATTCAACCACCCACCAACGCACTAACCCACCCATCTCACTCACTCATTCAACCACTCACTTATTCACAAACCCACTCACTCGACCCCTCATCCACTCACGTACCTCTTGTCTCCATGGCGTCGGCTACAGCCAAAATGTCCACTTGATCGTCAGCGGAACCAACAGCGAAGCAGGTCATAACGGGATCTCCCATGATGCAGATACCCTAGAGGCCAGAAACGAATATTTGACACAAACTGTACAAATCATACAAGCCCGCGCCATGTATGATTTCTACTTACCTACAGTGCAAATCACCAGTGGGATATGGGCTCCCAACAGCCTATGCTTGTCCTAAGAGGCGACTAAATGAATCGCGTGGTCAGGCTCGGTGACACGGTTGAAGCATGTTATTGTATCCATATTGTGTGGTCGATGCTCGTGATGTCAGTCACTGGCTTGTCTGGTCCAGACTAGCTTATTTAAAGTCCGCCGTCATATTGCTGGAATATTGCTAAGTGCGGAGTTAAACAACAAACAAAACACATGCAGTTCAATAAGACAGTGCAGTTAGTGTAGGTTTACCGAAATGCGAGCCTTGGAGAAATCGGTGATGGTGCACACAATATATAGGCCATGATGGATGAACCAAATACTGGTATGTTTTAAAGCAGCACTCAACAATATTTCAGCTCTATTACGACGGCCTGACGACGACCATCCAGTGATTGATATTATGAGCAACGTGGGTTATGATGTCACGCTATCAACCAAGTCACCGAGCATGATCACCAAATCGCCGCACTCAGCAATATTCCAGCTATATGACGGCGGTCTGTAAATAATCGAGTCTGGACCAGACAATCCAGTGATTGAGAACATGAGCATCGATCCATGCAATTAGGATACGATGATATGCATCAACCAAGTGAGCGAGCCTGACAATCCGATCCCGTTAATCGCCTCTAACAAGCATAGTCGCCTTTTCGGCAAGCATGGATTGCTGAAGACCTATTCTACCCCGGATCTTCATGGGTCTCTTACGAAAAGCATACTCTAACACGGAATCACATAGGGTTTAAGTATTCTTCTGAAAGTAATGATGCATCATAGTCGCAGTACCGTTATAAGTAGTTATTACATTGGCTAAAATGGTAAAAAATAATTATTATAAACTGAATTGATGCCGATTATGTGTCTGCAATTGAAACTTGAAGGAACTGTTATTAATTTGATTATGTCTATTTAACCTCATTCCTGCAAAAAATTGTAAAAATTAATCTGTGGCTGGGTAAATTTGTGACGAAAAAAGCAAATTTATTGATTTTGAAATATAGCATTCTAAGATACCCATCAGCAGTTGTGTATTGTGCGACTTTTTTTAAAGTTTTATAACTTTTCGCTTCTCATGTCCAAAGACCGGGTTCGATTCTCCACATGGGTACTATGTGTGAACCCCATTTGTTGTCAGCTGCCGTGGTCTTGCGGGAATATTGCTAAATGCAACGTCAAACCATTCTCACGCACGCACTCACTATAATCAACATTGTAATCAAGACAAATATTAAAATTTTAAGACGCTTTTAGCAATCGTCCCGTAGCCGTGGGAGAACATACAACAAAGGGGTCACATACTGTAGTCTTAGTATCGCTGAGAATCGAACCTGTTAACATTTCAGCCGGTAGGCCATCACACCAGCCTGGACCCTCTTGAAAATGTAACATACTGAATACGTTGTGCAATCACATGTATAGCATGTCAGAGGCTTATTGTTCAGTTTAATGCAATTCTCAGCAGCTCCCTATTTCTTCAATTGTCTAACAGAGTAGTGTCCTCCTTACGTCTGTCTTTCTCACACCTTCCTTCATTTTTTCTGTTAGGTCCATCAGTACTTTAGCTTTCTCCAGATATCCTTCAACTCCCAACCCTTTCATAGAGGCCCAGGCAGCCGCTATGTTGCCACCTGCAGTGCGAAATATAGCGTTTGTTTTATTGCCACAGGAATATACAAGTTATACACGGGGCATTCAAAGTAACAGCAATAGACTTTGGGTTATCTGCATTGGTGATAACCGTGCGGGACATCTTCTTTCAAACAGCATTGACTATCATTTGTATTTGCAACGATTTTTTTCAACCATCACTACATCCTTAATAATTTTCGGAAACGTTTCCAAAGAAAGAGTTACCTACATCCATACAGATGTCCTTATATATTTAAGTGAGTGAGTATGGTTTTACGCCGCTTTTAGCAATATTCCAGCAATATCACGACGGGGTCACCAGAAATGGGCTTCGCACATTGTACCCATGTCGGGAATCGAACCCGGGTGTCTTCGGCGTGACGAGCGAACGCTTTAACCACTAGGCTACCCGAACACCCCTTTGACATTTAAACAACACATGCATGTTTAAAACAAAAAGAACCACCATGTTAGGAGATGAATTGCTTGGCCTCGACCTACAAAGACCCGTACATACCACCAGGCCAAATAGAGTAGGGATGACTTACAGGGTCTGGTCTCGGAGCAAGACTAGGATATATATGCACACCGTCAATGAAAAGGCGAGTTGGGGCGACTTACCAGGCCTGGTCCCGGCAAGACTAGGAGAGCCATACAGGCCACCAGGCCACTCAGCGTACGTGAAGATCTGATATTTCCGTAGGTCGGAGTTCCTGTAGGCGATGACACTCGCCCCCTGGCAGAAGAAAACAACTTCTGACACAAAGGTCACAACTCGACCATCCCAAATCACACAAGATGCAATGACGAAATATACAATATCAAAACAACTTTCGTCACTCAGGCGAGACTTTGTGAAATGGATACATAGAGAGTAGTGAGTGAGTGAGTATGATTTTACGCCGCTGTTAGCAATATTCCAGCAATATCACGGCGGGGGACACCAGGAATGGGCTTCACACATTGTACCCATGTCGGGAATCGAACCCAGGTCTTCGGCGTGACGAGCGAACGCTTTAACCACTAGGCCGCCCCCATAGAGAGTAAACAACAATAGAAAATAAGTTCTCTTTGTGTCTTATCTTATAAAGCTCAAACAATTAGAAATAGAGTGTCAGACCTTCAAGACGAATACTATCATCTCTATGCACCCGTTGAACAAATCGTGTTGGTCAACAAATCTACAAGGATTGAGGCACTGTATCATTAAGGCTGACGTTGATGTGTATACATCAATGCACATAGTTAAGCTATATGCATCTATGCAACTTACATGATCTGTACAATACATATCTTGCTGACATGTACAGCCATGTACAGATACGAATGTGCAGTAGAGTATTATTACCTTGACAGTAAAGCCGTACTTGTGGACATCTGCTGATATTGACGTCACACCTGGGCACCGGAAGTCCCACTTGGGAATGGGATAGCCAAGTTTCTCGACCCTAATGAAAAGAACAGATTGACAGAATCGAAATGTAATTAGAATATAAACATTTAAGGATTGACTGTGGATTTGTTTCGGTTCATTGAGGTATAAATCGAAAAACCTATGTGGAAACTGTATGAATCCGTGCGTGACCAATTCAGCTAATCAGAATATAGGAACACAACGAAAATTCATTATTAAGAGAATGAAAACAAAATAATCTAAAACAGAGTGTGTTTAATAGCTAACTTCAACACTCATAGCGTACACTTTACAACGTGTAACAGGATGGTGGTGATGTGATTTCCATAATCAGTATAACTTCCAATTACACCAGACAAAAACTGTATATATGTATATCTGTTAGTATTTATTCATTAGCTGATAATTAGCTTAGATGTTTCACTTCAGACTACGGTAATGCTTGATATATATTAACATATTCACCAGGGTAACATGAAACCTCCAAAACAGGCATCAATGTGTAGAGGTAAGCTTCTTTTTACAGCCACGTTGGATAACTCTTCAATTGGGTCCACGATCCCATGACAAAACTGGGGGGCGGACGCAGCCAGCAGGATAGTGTTTGGTGTGATAGCCTACAATACGCAACATGTAACAGGGTAGTGTTGCTGTGATAGCCTACAATACGCAACATGTAACAGGCTAGTGTTGCTGTGACAGCCTACAATGTACAACATGTAACAGGCTAGTGTTGCTGTGATAGCCTACAATACGCAACATGTAACAGGGTAGTGTTGCTGTGATAGCCTACAATGTACAACGTGTAACAGGGTAGTTTTGCTGTGATAGCCTACAATGTACAACATGTAACAGGCTAGTGTTTGGTGTGACAGCCTACAATGTACAACATGTAACAGGATGGTGTTGTTGTGCTAGCCTACAATGAACAACATGTAACAGGCTGGTGTTTAGTGTGATAGCCTACAATGTACAACATGTAACAGGCTAGTGTTGCTGTGACAGCCTACAATGTACAACATGTAACAGGATGGTGTTTGGTGTGATAGCCTACAAGGTACAACGTATAACAGGTTGGTGTTGCTGTGAAAACCTTCAATGTACAACATATAGCAGGATGGTGTTTCTGTGATAGCCTACAATGTACAACGTGTAACAGGTTAGTGTTGCTGTGATAGCCTACAATGTACAACATGTTACAGGATGGTGTTACTGTGATAGCCTACAATGTACAACATGTAACAGGATGGTGTTTGGTGTGATAGCCTACAATGTACAACATGTAACAGGTTGGTGTTGCTGTGATAGCCTACAGTGTACAACATGTAACAGGATGTTGTTTGGTGTGATAGCCTACAATGTACAACGTGTCACAGGCTAGTGTTGCTGTGACAGCCTACAATGTACAACATGTAACAGGCTAGTGTTTGCTGTGATAGCCTTCAATTCGCAACATGTAACAGGCTAGTGTTGCTGTGACAGCCTACAATGTACAACATGTAACAGGCTAGTGTTTGCTGTGATAGCCTACAATACGCAACATGTAACAGGCTAGTGTTTGCTGTGATAGCCTACAATACGCAACATGTAACAGGCTAGTGTTGCTGTGACAGCCTACAATACGCAACATGTAACAGGGTAGTGTTGCTGTGATAGCCTACAATACGCAACATGTAACAGGGTAGTGTTGCTGTGATAGCCTACAATGTACAACATGTAACAGGCTAGTGTTTGGTGTGACAGCCTACAATGTACAACATGTAACAGGATGGTGTTGTTGTGCTAGCCTACAATGAACAACATGTAACAGGCTGGTGTTTAGTGTGATAGCCTACAATGTACAACATGTAACAGGCTAGTGTTGCTGTGACAGCCTACAATGTACAACATGTAACAGGATGGTGTTTGGTGTGATAGCCTACAAGGTACAACGTATAACAGGTTGGTGTTGCTGTGAAAACCTTCAATGTACAACATATAGCAGGATGGTGTTTCTGTGATAGCCTACAATGTACAACGTGTAACAGGTTAGTGTTGCTGTGATGGCCTACAATGTACAACGTGTAACAGGGTAGTTTTGCTGTGATAGCCTACAATGTACAACATGTAACAGGCTAGTGTTTGGTGTGACAGCCTACAATGTACAACATGTAACAGGATGGTGTTGTTGTGCTAGCCTACAATGAACAACATGTAACAGGCTGGTGTTTAGTGTGATAGCCTACAATGTACAACATGTAACAGGCTAGTGTTGCTGTGACAGCCTACAATGTACAACATGTAACAGGATGGTGTTTGGTGTGATAGCCTACAAGGTACAACGTATAACAGGTTGGTGTTGCTGTGAAAACCTTCAATGTACAACATATAGCAGGATGGTGTTTCTGTGATAGCCTACAATGTACAACGTGTAACAGGTTAGTGTTGCTGTGATAGCCTACAATGTACAACATGTTACAGGATGGTGTTACTGTGATAGCCTACAATGTACAACATGTAACAGGATGGTGTTTGGTGTGATAGCCTACAATGTACAACATGTAACAGGTTGGTGTTGCTGTGATAGCCTACAATGTACAACATGTAACAGGATGTTGTTTGGTGTGATAGCCTACAATGTACAACGTGTCACAGGTTGGTGTTGCTGTGAAAACCTTCAATGTACAACATGTAACAGGTTGGTGTTGCTGTGATAGCCTACAATGTACAACGTGTAACAGGGTAGTTTTGCTGTGATAGCCTACAATGTACAACGTGTAACAGGGTAGTTTTGCTGTGATAGCCTACAATGTACAACGTGTAACAGGTTGGTGTTGCTGTTGCTTCATGTACAATGCACAACGTATAACAGGGTGGAGTCTTGCATAATGGCCAAGTACAACTTGTCACAGAATGGAGTTGGTATTATAGCCTACAATGTACATTAAACACGGTGTTGTCTCGCATAGTTCCAGTTTAAAAGGATCAGAATTTGTTTTAAGTATATGATTATTTGTTCACATTTGTGCCTCAGGTTTAAGAAACATCAATGTTTCGCATGACATACTTTGTGTGCTGAAAATGTTATTGTTCCAGTATGTGTTATTTAATGGTGAGTCCCTTAGTAGGGAGAAGAACAATTTGACTACTATCACCTAGAGAGACTGGCATTTACGCCGGGGGACTTGAGACTGGTATTCAAGGATGAACTCATCTATATTTACCTTCTCCATAGCTTCAACATCAGCTCTGAGATCACTATCGACAGGAACATGTATGACCTTCAGGCCAAAGTAGGCCGCAGCTTTGTCCATCACTGGGTGGATAGTGGTTGGGGCTATCTGAAACAGAACACATTGAGTTTAATCTGTCATCACAATATACAAATCAGAGGCATGCGAGCAATGGATGGTAAATCTTGAGACAATTGGGACAGCCCTCAAAATTGATTTCTCTATGCTCGGCACTACTTTTGAAGCAATTCACTTAATAACATATTTGTGATGTGTTTACTGAACAGTACATAAAAAATGTATTTTTTAAAACACAAATATTTGTCATTTTGTGTTTTTGTCTAAAAATGTTTACAAGACCTTATCATGTAATACCTGGAATCCTGTACGGCTTTCGATACGACCAGCAGACACAAAAGGTGCTTGCGCTCTACATTTTTAATATTTTGGATCCGTGTTCCAAGTAGGTTTCCTTGCAGAGCTATCAACCATCATCGACTGGTTTTATTTGCAGAGCCACTATCTCGACATTAGACACCCATGTGGTTTACTTTCAATTGTTGTTATTCTGCGAAGGTACCTACAATCTCAGGGTTCTTGATGGTTGGGAAGAGTTTCTGTGCTCTGTCTCGGTAGGTCTTTACCGCCATCAGGACACTTTCAGTTCCACCGGAAGTCAAGAAGCCTGCTGTTTCCTCGTCACCGTTCAACATGTTGGCTGTCATGCTCACGATTTCCGTTTCCATCTTTCTACAATGGTAAAGTGCCTGTCTCAGCTGCTCGTATTTCACACGTCTTCTGTCGTGTGACAATCTTTGCTTCGTGACAGACTTGTTAACGCCATTTAGATATAAAAAAATAATATGTTATTTATAGTGTTCAATTTATATGCCTTTACACGATTGTATGTCAGGTGGGCAGGTGAACGATATCTGTACCTGATGTGACGTCGACGAGCTAACGGGCAGCGATATAGCAAATATTGACACTCGGGTAGAGCTTGGAGTTATGTGATATCTGCAGGGTGGGGATTGTATGGAAACTCGGGTACAATATGGAGTGTTGTAAGGTATGTGGTGTGAAGTGTGTATGGGTTACCTCTGGGACTCAGGTACAGTATGCAGTTTACCTGAGATTCGGTTAAGGTGTGCAAGGTGGGGTATCTATGGGGTGTACCTGGGACTCAGGTACATTATGGAGTGTTGTAAGGTGTGAAAGGTGGGGTATGAGACTCAGTTACGGTATGGAGCGTTGTTGTAGGGTGTGCAGGGTGGAGTGTGTATGGGGTTTACCTGGGACTCGGGTACAGTATGCAGTATGGAAAGGTATGCACGATGGAATATGTATGCAGTTTACCTGAGACTCGGTTAAGGTGTGCAAGGTGGGGTATGTATGGGGTTTACCTGAGACTCAGGTACATTATGGAGTGTTGTAAGGTGTGAAAGGTTGGGTATGAGACTCAGTTACGGTACGGAGTGTTGTTTTAGGGTGTGCGGGGCCGGGTGTGTATGGAGTTAAGTGATGTCTATAGGGTGGAATGGGTGCATGGTGTTTACCTGAGACTCGGGTACAACATGGGGTTAAGAGCGTTTTCGTGTAGAAAAGCCATCTGGAACTGTTTCACTAATTCATCATGATCTACTGAGTGGCCGATCTTCTCTGCAAGAAATCATTTATTGATTATATTGATTTATGTCGTGATTGAATGAGGTCTATTTGAAGGGAACATCCACGTGTATCACCATATGGTTTCTTAACTGATAAAACTGAGGGAAATATACAAGGACTGGTGAGCTTGGTGTCAGTATGATGTGTCTGAGATCGGAATTCATAACAAACTGCGACATGATATCTCAGTAGCCTTGCTCTGTAAATCGGTATATGGCCGGTGAGGTGAGGTGAAATGGGGTTTAACGTCGCGTCCAAGATCATTGCACTTATATAGCGACGTGCATGCACGCGTGTGTGTGTGGCTGCTTGTACTAGTCCGGTTAATGCCGATTTATAGTGCTAGCTCACTGAGATACCATGCCGCAGTTTAACATGAATACCCCACTCAGACACAGTATACTGTATACTCTGAGCCGACCAGTCCTTGTTTTAGCCCCTTAATCCCGAGCGCCAGACAGAGTAACAACAAGTACCATCTTTTAACGTCTTTTGGTATTGTCATAGCGACTGATTTACGACATCCATTGTCTGAAGAACATTTGATTGCAAAGGCTCATTACCCTGGAGCCATGACATCTATATGCCTTGAAACACTTAATTGCTGTTATTTATTAGATGCTAATCCTATTTGTTAATCCCCATTTTTGTGTACATCGACCGTCTGCCATCCTGAACAGGATGTGCAAGTATGTCACTGATGATTTACTGTTTACATTTATATTTATTACTTACTAAATGTCAGGTGACCTTGGCTATATAAGCGTTGGTCCAGAAGAGAGAAAAAAGAGGAGAGAAGGAGAAAAGGGAGGAGAAAAGAAAGGTCTTACCCTTAGCCTAGCTAGGGTTAGGCTGGGTGCTTCCGGGGCACCTAGACAACAACCACTACCACTATGTGCTGACCTGACACATAGTGTCTTTTGTATGTATATATCTACATGTATAAAGTAAAACTGTATATACCGCAAGCCATCGTCTCCAAGTTGTCACTTCCTACTGAGAACCATACGTCGGCCCCTTGCATATACGAGTGTGCAAATCGTTCATTAATCAACGTCGGACCGACACGCGTTGTTAGTATGATGCAGCCGTGGATCTCCCCGGGCGGACGCCCTATCACTAGACCACGGAGGCGGTCGGCACACACACACACACACACACACACACACACACACACACACACACACACACACACACACACACACACACACACACACACAGAGGTACATGCGCTGTATGGTGCACATCCCTCGCTTTACAAAGAAACCTAGAAAAGGAACTAACCCTGGAAAAGGTTGAAGCTATCTTTTTGCATTTGGAGGTGGTCGTCCTCCAAAGTGTAGGTATAGGCGAAGATCTTGCCGTCGATGTGGTTCACCTCTGCTTCCCTCATTTCTTCCATCTCCTTCAGCAGCACTTTCGGCTCGATACCTGGACAAATGTGTATCACCATAAATCCAATACAACTCCCCAACCTCAATACATGGACAGGTGTATTATCATCTATATGACAAGTCTTCCCTGCGTCAGTACCTGGACACAGGTGTATCACCATAAATTCAATACAACTCCCCAACCTCAATACATGGACAGGTGTATTATCATCTATATGACAAGTCTTCCCTGCGTCGGTACCTTGACACAAGTGAATCACCATCAATGAAATACATATTTTGAGTAGAAGGTGCTGTTTAATGATTTCAGTATACACACTGACGTTACTCATAACAATAACAGATCAATGAAGATCCGGGATAGAATAGGTCTTCAGCAACCAATTCTTGCCGTAAAAGGCGACTATGCTTGTCGTAAGAGGCGACTTGCGGGATCGGGTGGTCAGGATCGCTGACTTGGGTGACAAATTCATTTCCATAATCTCTACTGAAACCAGAGTCCTATCTAAACCATATAATAATCATGTGTTTGTGAATCGCCATCACATAGTATACTATAAGTTAATTTATGATTACTTTCGGAACTAGCTCTTCACATGAGAGACCCAAAAGAGACGGGATAGAAGATATCCCCAGACGACTAGATTGGATCGGATGGACATGATCTGTGACTTAGTTGATTGTGTGTCATGGTACCGGCGTGGGGTGTTGCTCATTCTTTCAGTCACTGGTTTGCCTGGCAAATGCTCGATAATGTTCATGTCCCCGCAATATAGCTGAAATGGGTGAGTTGGGTTTAGCGCTGCTGTTGACAGTATCACTGTCATATTACTAAAAAGCACAGCCAAGAAACAATGTCTATTGCATTGTAACGGTTGAGTTGGGTTTAACGCCATTTTTAACAGTATTCCAGTTATATCACGGCGTGTCAGCTTAATGTGGGAGGAAAGCCCGAAGTGATGCAGGTCTCAGACGTTTACCACGTCGGTGAAACCCACGAGCACGGATATGGTGCTGACAAACCTCGAAACATTATCGGGTCGAACCGGGATTCGAACCCACAATCATAGCTTTCTGGCGTGCCTAAGGGACGCAACTTTGCACAGCGAATCGCGGCGCCTTAGACGACTGGGCCACCCGTGCCCCCGTAACGGTGCACAAAAAAAAGTGACTATTGCCACAAACCTTTTTCAGGAATGACTACTTTTGCAGGCTTGGTGCCATCTTTGCTCCCGAGGTTCACCTGCTTGATGAAGTTAGTGGCTTCGTTTCTGAGGACCTTCACCAGAAGACCGCTCACCCCAGGGAGGGCCTTCAGTCCAAGGAGGACAACTCTCAACAGTTCATCCGTCCCCTTGTTGACGAAGATGCTTAGGAGTATGGAAAGCACCAGCACAAAGACGAGGTGTTCGATCAGCAGAAACCACATCTTTGCGTCCTACGTCCTTACAGAGGCAGTGCCGGCCAGGAAAGAACGACTTGAGGTGTGTGAGATAGAACTCGGACATGGGAGCAAGGTACACAAGTGTATATCGAAACACGTATCAAATAGATAACGCAGTCGCCTGATTAAAGATGCGCTATCAGACTTGCGAGGAAAGGAGTTTGCATTCTGTACATTGTGTTACCTTCAGTAGATGGTGTATGTTTAATGCAGTAGTAGTTGTCGATCGATCTCGAGGGGCAACATGTATATACTAAGTCGTGTACATCGTGAATCGCGAAGGGCCAGTTGACAAGGAATTTATCTTGCCGGCATAATCCTCGACCGCTGATCTCGTGTCAGTATTTATTTCTTGTAACATAATTTAGGTCATATGACAAGAATGGTTTCGATTTATAACATAATCACAGAATTCTCACCCATCTTTTGAGAGCATAAAAGGAGTTTGAATTTACATGTACAGTAAAATACGGTTATAACGAACTCAGAGGCACCACTATTTTAGTTCGTTATAAGTGTATATACAGCATACATAGAGCAAATGCCCGGGGCCAAACAAAACAATTCGTTCAATCCGCCAGTTCGTTTTAAACGTAGTTTACTGTAAGCCATGCATGCTATATTTCATTATTATATCTCCTTTTCAAAGACAGTACATATGAAGATACAGTCGAACCCGTTATCACGTACCTAGCGACCTGTTGTAACTTCGACATATCCGGACCTTCGAGGTAACGAGGCATGGAAATGCAGACTGATCAAGTAACAGTAATCAGATCAATAGCAATACGATTGCATTCACGAGACAATAAGAACACAACACGTGTATGCGATGACAAATTGAAATGTATTTCGCAGGCAATAATCAATGACAACTGTGATGAATGTACAGTGCGATGAAATGTACCTTAAGGATTGACAAATTTTGTTTTTGTTTAACGCCGCTATATGACGGCGGTCTGTAAATATTCGAATCTGGACCAGACAATCCAGTGGTTGACATCATGAGCATCGATTCACACAATTAGGATACGATGACATGCATCAACCTAGTCGCCTCTTACGACAATCATAGTCGCCTTTTACGGCAAGCCTGAGTTGCTGAAGACCCCGTATCTTCACAAGTCAACGTGCATGTGTGTACCTTATGAGACATATCAGCAATCAGAAATAAACAACAGTAGAGTGAGTGGCACGTGGTCATGGTACAGTATTTACAAAATGTTTAATTTACGTTATACGGAAAAGTCAGCTAAGGATGTTTGTTTGCATGTATTGTCACTTGCTTCTCTGTGTATTAAACTAGGTTATTCATTTTAGCAAGTGCTCTAAAATATTTATCCGCAGTGCTAACAATCACAAAGCTCTGGCATATGGCAAAAGTGTGATAACGCTATGTCCGTCTTTCATTGTTATTTAGTTTGTCAACTTTACAAAAACAACTAAGTCTCCCTCGCACCTCGTGCATCACTACTTGGATAGTGTGTAGTGTAACGCGGCTTTGATTGCACTTTTTGATGTCACCAGGAAGTGTTGCCATGTTTTTACGCATGTCCACTCACAATGTTTTATTTGTCAATAAATATTACAAATTGATTGGAGGTTAAGTACGCAATTGGTTGAATAATTGATCCAAATTGCACTAGACATTGATGTTAGACAAGTGAGGAAATGTAATAGATATACATACGTATATCAAGGAGAAGTCCTCGCCAGTATGCGAGATGTATATACACGCTTCTCAAAACTGTTAATGTGGCAAATGCTAACTTCGAGAAACACAATTCTATAATATATAATACTGCGGGAGAATCACGGAGATGGCATGCTCTATCTTCTCCAGGTGGACCAAGCCATCTTCCCGTTTCTGTTGGTAGATTGTGGTTACATGTTTGGAATTTTACAATTGGATAAGTCATAGTTTTTGGAAGTAGTAAATATCGTTCAAAGGATGGATAATCCTTAAAAAACATGTAACTGATAATAATTATCTTTAGAACTAGCTAATACTCACCTTCTCCAAGATTGATGAAACTCGTATCTTAATACAGTTTCCATTTGTGTTACAATCCAAAGAGCTGAAAATGTAGTTGGTGTATAGACACCTTCATTTAGCCAACACACACTGAGTATAGTTTCGACTTTATAGAGTCAACTATTCCTATTATTGTAAATTGAAACATTTGTTAAGTAATTTAGAATAGTTACGGAGCGTTCAGCGTCACTTGCAACTGTTGTTTTATGCCAGAATGAATAATACTCGCCAAAGGCTGTCGAAGGCTTTCGAGAAGTCAATAAAAGCACAGAACAGATTTTTCTTCGAGGTTTAGCATTAAGATTGTTATAACAAATAGGTTATCAAGAGTCGATTAACCACTCCAGAATCCGGATGGAGTATCTGACATTATAATGTTTACTTCTACAACATTTGTAAACCTTATGTTTACAACACAGGGTCCCGTTTCACAAGGCGATCGTAGGGCTACGACGGTCGTAGTCTATGTTAAAGTATTGGAGTTACGATCGTCTTAGCGCTTCGATCGCTTTGTGGAACAGGGCCCTGGTCAATATTTTTCCGAAGCAACTCAATATCGTTATAGTTCTATAATGGTTAGGATCAAGAGTATAACCTTTACTCTTTTATATTGGTTTTACTATTCCTGTAACCCCAGACATGGTGTGCATCTAGTACAATTTTGAATATATTTGTGTATAATGAATCGAGGGTTAAATAGTCAACGAGATATATTCTGTTAGAACGAGATCGCAAATATGTAGTATGGCTAGGGAACCATTTCACAGCTTGACACCAAGCAAACGAGGTAAACACATCACGAGTTATCGCCCTTGTATTACAATCAGATACACTCGGTTTAGTTTGCTAAACTGCATTTGAAAGGTGTTTAGTTTCGAGATAATACAATCATACCATTGTATTCGCATTGGTGAGAAGTACAGCATCATCCAGTGGGGTATATGAAATGTATGCCATACAAGTCAGCGGGGTACGTAAGGAAAATGCCCATTCAGTAACCAATCATAAACGAGTATCTTAATGTAAGGTAAGATAATTGCAGGTTATTTATAAGCGTCTTATGGCCTAATTTTGGGGTCGAGGTTTGATATGGGGTTTAATATGAAACCTGCCATATAACAACGTTTTTACTATATACTATAACATTATTTTACATCAAAGTGTGAGATGTATTCATTAATAAATCATTACGTACCATGTTCTTGTTTTTCATTTTGTTCAGAAAACCTTCCGTGTACATTTCGCTTTGAAATCTGTCCTCAAATTCGTCAAAGAAAACATCAGGACCATAACTGTATTTGCAAGTGAATGCAATATATTTGCACCTTGTTTTGGAAGACCCGGGGAAGCGAGCCGAGGAGACGAGCAGACGACGCACTAAGGGACGTAACTCCAATTTCTTACCACCGGGCTGAAATCGATCGCCCATTCCAGATGCAGTGACAAGCTATATGGGACAGAGAGGGGTCTGGTTATTACACCCCCTGTGGTATGTGACTGTCTCAATGTTGGCTTTGTCGAACATGCAAATATTGATTATGTATTTTGATGTCATGGTATATGATAAAAAGGTTATTGCGTTCATATCTCAACCCATATCAACCCTCATCCCCTCAAACTGCCATATAATAAACTCTAATTATTGGGGCAGACATTGCCCTGGCGACAGACATTGTGTACTGGAAACCTACTCTATTCCGAAATGTCAGCATATTCGTGAGCCTCCAAGCAGGTCAACAACATGGATATATATCATTAATATTTATGTATAGAAGAGAAGTGAAACTGTATGTACGTGGTGTAGGGTGAACGGTGAAGCGATGGGAAACATGGTGGGATGACGGTTAGTCCCACGAGGCTGAACCTACCAGCAAGCAATGGTTATCGTTGTCTCCAAGTGCACACTGTAATGAGGACGTACATGCTATGAGATTATATAGGTGTTGAATGATTATACTTCAACATCAACACCGACTCCAACATCAACACCAGCTCCAACACCAATTCATTAACACCAAGAACATCTCCATCACAAACACCAACGCCAACTCTAACACCAACACTAGCTCCAACATCAACACCGACTCAAACACCAACACCAACACCAGCTCTAACACCAACACTAGCTCCAACATCAACACCGACTCAAACACCAACACCAACACCAGCTCTAACACCAACACTAGCTCCAACATCAACACCAACTCAAACACCAACACCAGTTCCAACACTAATTTATTGACACCAACAACTGCTCTACGACCAACACCAGCTCCAACACCAATTCATTAACACCAACAACATCTCCATCACAAACTCCAACACCAACACCAGCTCCAACACCAACACCAATTCATTAACACCAACAACATCTCCATCACAAACTCCAACCTCCAGCTCTAACACCAACACCAGCTACAACATCATCACCGACTCCAACACCAACACAAACACTAGCTCCAACATCAACACTAGCTCCAACATCAACACCGACTCCAACACCAACACCAGTTCCAATACTGATTTATTGACACCAACAACTGCTCCACGACCAACACCATCACCACCTCCAACACCAACACCAACACGGCTCCAACATCAGCACCAGCAACAACACCAACACCAGCCCCCAAACCGACTCCATCTCAACCAGAAAACTGCGGCGCCTTAGACTAGGCTACCATGACGTTATGAACGTAATCGACCACCGCCATAAAGCTGGAATATTGCTGAGTGCGGCGTAAAACAACAAACAAACAAACAAACGTAATCGAGTTTGGCTCGGACAACCAGTAGTTGATAGTATGAGGTTAAATCCACGCTTCTGAACAATGGCACCTGCCTGATTCAGTCGGCTATTAAAACGTCTACAGGCCCCTATTCTCCCCTATGGGTTCCTATTTCAATTTTGTTTTATGTCATCAGCGGACAAGTGCATACACGCATACATATACAAAAGGGGCATAACTCCACAATGATTAAATGTTAATGTGTGTGAGTGAGTATGGTTTTAAGCCGCTTTTAGCAATATTCCAGCAATATCACGGCGGGGGACACCAGAAATGGGCTTCACACATTGTACCCATGTCGGGAATCGAACTCGGGTCTTCGGCGTGACGAGAGAACGCTTTAACCACAAGGCTACCCGACCGCCCCTTAAATGTTACAAGTTAAGCTAATGGTTCTGTTCTCGCTGTAGCTTTGCTTTTGTTAATCTTTATTTTACGTGCATTTACATTAAAAATTCATATTTGACGGTGTAATCTTGGGCATCCCTGTGCATCCCGTAACATCTCCACCCGTCAGACTAGACACCCCGTTACACATGACGTTACCGTTCCAGGTAAAACTGGCCTGATTAGCCAGGCGTGGATACGTTTGTGACGACGTTTTACAGTAATATAGTATACAGTGATAGCCCTGAAGATGTGGATCGTGGGCTTATTGTCAAGCTAACATATGTGGGCCCATTTGTCCAGTAATACCAAATTGATCGTCCGGATGATCAATTTCAAAAAGACTCCATCTATACGATTCTGTATTTAGTTCCTTTTGGTTTATAGGTTAATACTTAAGTGTGTATAAAATGTCAATGCAAGAGAATAACCAGTCTTGATTACAGATTCCATATGGCGTAAAGGGCAAAATAACGGTGAAAATTATATGAAGGGACCACTGAAAATCAGTGATAACACCTGGCGTTTGCGAAAAGAGTAAGCATGTTCTGTCCTACCGAAAGAACCCGCCATTCACACAATTTGCAGAAAAAAGCGAGTATCTATTAACTGATGAAATCAAGAGTAACAACATGCAAAGATAAATCGAACGCATTCTGTTCTATATTATTTCCTTATTGTCTCTCTTGCTTCTATTTCTTTTTTTTCTGGAACATTATGCCTTGTAAACTTGTTCATCGAGAGTCTGTAAACTGTGTATAATCATATTCACATCATAAATACTAAAAATGTTTAAAGCATATATTTTGTAAAAAGCGTTCTAACCAATGTTTCTCCCCTTCTTGCTGAGTCGCCCCGTTTGGATTCCTAGACAGAATAGGTCCTAAGAGATATACACTTTTCGTACTACATTTCCGATAACTTGGGTCGATTGGTCAGAATCAGACACTTTGCGTGTCATCTTGTCCCGACTGTGTTATCGTTGCTCATGTTATCAATCAAAGGTTTGTCTGGTTCAGACGTCGCGGTGATACAGCTGGAATACTGTTGAGTGCGCCGTAAACATCGTTCCCTCACTCACAGAAAAAACAGTGAGTCAGAAGTTGAGGAAGATTCTCGAAACCGTTACGATAAACCGTCCATAAAATAAAGATCTGGGTTAGAATTGGTTTTATAAACCCATGCTTGTCGTAAGAGGAGACTAACGTGATCGGATGCTCCGGCTCGCTGACTTGGTTGATGTTTATTATCGCAAGAAAATTGAGTAGATCGATGCTCTTGATGTCAGTCATTGGATTGTCTTGTGCAGACTCGATTATTTACAGACCGCCGTCATATAGCTGGACTATTGCTGAATGCAGCGTTAAACAACAAACAAACAAACCAGGTCGTGATGACGCCTTTCTCCGCATATGTTATCAGTCCGACCTCTCGCTACAGGCACGGCGTAGTCGGATAACACATTAGAGGCGAAATGCTTTACCCTGTTTTCGGTTGATAACATGATTCTACCAGGGCACGATGGACCACAGGTCAAATATTGTAATTACGTGCACCAGACAAGCATGGTCAACAAGGAGATAGTAATGCCCATCTGTGTCCTCTCACAGAAATGAATCCGTGGCTCTCTACATGTGCTTTTGACATCGTGAGTGAGTGAGTGAGTTGGGTTTTACGCCGCTTTTAACAGTATTCCAGTCATATCGCGGCGTGTCAGCTTAATGTGGGAGGAAAGCCCGAAGTGATGCAGGTCTCAGACGTTTACCACTTCGGTGAAACCCACGAGCACGGATATGGTGCTGACAAACCTAGAAACATAATCGGGGCGAACCGGGATTCGAACCTACAATCACAGGGTTCTGGCATGCCCAAGGGACGCAACTCTGCACAGCGAATCGCGGCGTCTTAGACGACTTGGCCACCAGTGCCCCCTTTTGACATCGTGAACATCCGACTTCGAATTGGTCTTCAGCAACTCATGCTTGCCACAAGTAGTTTCTAACGGGGTCGAGTGGCCAGACTTCCTGACTTGGTTGATGCATGTCATCGTATCCTAATCGATGCTCATGGTGTCAGTGACAGATTTTTCTGACTGGTTTATTTTCAGATCATAGTCATATAGCCGAAATACGGCTAAATCTGGGGTTAATCTGCACACAACAAAAGAAACCAAAATAGATTCATGTGTGTTGTCTGTCTGTGTATATGTACAGTGAAACCCCGTTTATCCGGACTCCCTTGCGCACTACTGCTAGCGACATCTTAATGTTATAAAAGCATCCATCATTCGTTAATCCGGACGATTCCACTATTAACGGACCCGTGAAGATTCCGGGGTAGAATAGGTCTTCAGCAACCCATGCTTGCCGTAAAAGGTGACTAAGCTTGTCATAAAAGGCGACTAACGGGATCGGGTGGTCAGGCAAGCTGACTTGGTTGATGCATGTCATCGATCCCAATTGCGTGGCTCGATGCTCATGATATTAATCACTGGATTGTCTGGTCCAGACTCGATTTTTTACAGACCACTGTCATATAGCTGGAATATTGCTGAGCGCGGCGTTAAACAACAAACCAACCAACCAACAACCACTATTAACGGTACTATCCGGATTAACGGAGTTTCACAGTACGTATAAGCGTCTGTGTTTTCTAAATACAACGGCCCGTGGGGGTTCCGGGTTAGGGTTGGCCCCTAGCAACCTCTGCTGGTCGTAACAGGCGACATAATGGGTCGGGTTGTCAGACGCGATGACGTAGTTGATAACGTAACGCCGACGATTTGGAACATGCTCATAATATTAATCACTGGATTGTCTGACGCGATTCGATTGTTTACATGCCGCCGTCATACATCTAGAATATTTCGGCGTTAAACAACAACACATTGGATCATTATTCTTACGTTTGCTGAGTGCGGCGTTAAACAACAAACTGACTACGCTTGTAAACATCTCACGTCGACCATCAACGGTATCAAAAGAAAATGTTCCAGCTTTATCTTTCATAAACGTCCATATGCATAGAAGAAAATGTTTGTTTGTTGTTTAACGCCGCACTCAGCAATGTTCCAGCTATATGACGGCGGTCTGGACCAGACAATCAAGTGATTGACATCATGAGCATCGAACATGAGTAATTGAGATACGATGACAAGTCAGCGAGCCTGGCCACCCGATCCCGTTAGTCGCCTCTTACGACAAGCACAGTCGACTTATACGGCAATCATGGGTTGCTGAAGACCTATTCTACCCCGGATCTTCACGGGTATGAAGAAAATGTAACAGCATGAAATGTTATTAAAAACTAGCTACTGAAACTGCAGGGGTTCAAGTTCACTATAGATATCGGAACTGACCCAGCTGACTGGCGCTATTGTTTCATTGTGTTGAGGGTTCAAGTCTCCCTCATGACTCATTCCGCGATAATACCTGATGAACAAAGTTCATTCCACTATGGAAATCTCTCCGGGACATCAGTTATACAAACATGATTACAAATACACGTAGAACGCACTATCGTCGTCACTTCGTATACATAGGTTATTGGTTAAACGTTATTCCATATTATAAGTCATCTTACTGCTTACACGTGTTCTTGGTGGAACATACGCTGAGGGCATCACGACAACCGTGTAGAAGGCATGTGCTGTAGAAATCGCCATTTTACTGTTGACACTTTAGCAGTAACTTGTGAGATATTGAGTGAATGAGAGAGCTCCCCAAATTCACCATTCCGCAGAAGATGAGTGCGTACACGTCGAACAGACATAAGGAGTCGAACCCGGAAGAGAGATTAAGTGTGATCAAGCAAGGATGTGTCAGCGTTGGATTCATGGTCATCTGTTACGTGATCGGATATTACGTCATGCCATTTCCGGTTCCAGCTCTGCCAACGCCCATTTCCCGTTTGCTTTACACGCTGCAGTGGCAGGTAGTTCCTGCGTATCTTCTGTTTGCAGGAATTGGAACAGTTGCTTTGACGAGGTTCCTTACTCCTGCCATTAACCCATTGAACGCTAACAGTGATCACATTATCACAGTGCATGTTCGATACGTTCAGAACACTTTGGAGCAGTTTGTGTTGAGTGCTATTGGGCAACTGATGATTTCAATTTACCTTGATGACCGGCAGATGAAACTCATACCGGTTCTTGTGTTTCTCTTTGTGGTAGGAAGGATTACTTTCTGGATTGGATACACTCGCTTCTATCTCCAGCGTTTATTCGGAATGACTCTGACAGTTGTGCCAACCATGTTGTTATATGTTGTTCTGCTTCATTACTTCTTTATATACGGCCCAATGAGCATGTTGTGGCGATAGAACACTCGCAAGCAGTCAAGGACATTGCAAACAAAGTCAAAGAAAACAGTGCCCAAACAACAAAGGACGATAGCAAACAACAAGGGGTGATAACAAACAACAAAGGACGATAGAAAATAAACAAGGATCCCAACAAACAGCCAAGGATCACAGCAACAGCCAAGAATCACAACAAACAGCCAAGGATCACAGCAACAGCCAAGGATCACAACAAACAGCCAATGATCACAACAAACAGCCAAGGATCACAACAAACAGACAATGACCACAACAAACAGCCAAGGATCACAGCAAACAGCCAATGACCACATCAAACAGCCAAGGATCACGGCAAACAGACAAGGATCACAACAAACAGACAAGGATCACGGCAAACAGACAAAGATCACGGCAAACAGACAAGGATCACAGCAAACAGCCAAGCACCACATCAAACAGACAAGGATCACGACAAACAGACAAGGATCACGGCAAACAGACAAGGATCACAGCAAACAGACAATGATCACAACAAACAGCCAAGGATCACAGCAACAGCCAAGGATCACAACAAACAGCCAAGGATCACAGCAAACAGCCAATGACCACATCAAACAGCCAAGGATCACGGCAAACAGACAAGGATCACAACAAACAGACAAGGATCACGGCAAACAGACAAAGATCACGGCAAACAGACAAGGATCACAGCAAACAGACAAGGATCACGGCAAACAGACAAGGATCACAGCAAACAGACAAGGATCACGGCAAACAGCAAAGGGTCACAGCAAACAGCAAAGGATCACAGCAAACAGCCAGGGATCACAAATAACTAGTTTATCACTCCTTCGCATACGGTCAAATTAGAAAAAAATTGAAGATAGAACACATTCATGTCGCCACAAGGCCCCAACAAACAGCCAAAATTCTGAACAAACAATTGAGAGCCACAACAAACAGCTAAATGTCGTAGCAAACAATCAATAGCACAACAAACAATCAAGGACCGCAGCACGCAGTCAAGGGTTACAACAGGCAAGGGCCACAACAGAGAATGTCAAGGGTCATATCACGGAGCGTTATCATTGTACCTAAACTGCACGCAATCACCTGTGCTTCGTCGTCTTCAAATCCTTAAAAACTGTGTATTCATGGTTGCGCTTTGTCTCAGCTACCCTTAACGCATGTATATACATTAGTTCAACACTGCATGCATCAGGTATATATCTCAGCTGGATGCGTTTTCGATTGCTGTATAACGGGAGACGGCATGGAAATTAATAATAATGCGACTTCCTGAATGTGAACCAGACCTATATGAATGACTCACCAAGTACTTTAACCTCGCTTTTGTTGGTACTTAGATATGTGTATTATCAATGTAACATTTGATACATGAAGGAATCATGATACCACTCATGAAAGGATGATTCTTCTTTCTGTTCTCCTGTTCATCCTTTAACCAAGACGCAATCAACGAACACACACGTCATGGGCAGAAAGCATGGGGTCGATCTCCAACATGGGCAGTATGTGAGAAACCTGTTTCTGGTGTCCCAGAAATTGATATTGCTGGAATACGGTTCGTATAAGTGGTGAAAAGCCATAAACACTCAACCCATTCATAAATGCATGCTTAACATATTTAATTTCATAACCTGTAAAGTCGGTTGTCGAAATAAAAACAAAAACAAAACGTTAAAAACATTGTAATTAATTTCGGAAAAAACAATATTCAATTTGTCAGTGGGGTGAAATTAACAAAAACGAAGAAAAAATGTATTTGGAAGGAAAGACAAGTCGAAAGGTTGCCACGCTTTTCATGTTCACCTATTTTACTGAAATTACCGTATTCGACGTAATAAGCGCCCCGCTCTAATAAGCGCCCATGGCGATATTTGCTAATATATTGGCTAGTGAACAATCCCAATTGGCACCCCTTCCGATTGATCAATGTATACACAAGACTTATTTTTTCGCGAATAATACGCAACTCGTGTGTTATATGCACCCTTAATTATGAGCAATTAAATTCTGGAAAAATATATCTATCGTACACAAACATTTCAGGCTGTCAGCATAAACCACAACATTTATCTTTCAACTCTTTCAACTTTGTCACTAAAATAATATTCAAAGAAGAGCCCCCTATTTCTAATTTTGAGAGCGCCCTGGGCGCTTATTACGTCGAATACATAGTTTACATGCTCGACGGTAAGAAACAAGATTGTCCTTTGGTTTGTGTGAAATTTTGGGATACTTAAACCGTTCCTCCGCCGGAAGATAGACACACCGTAAAACAAGTAGTGACGACAAGTTGTGTAGCATTGGCTACAGCTGACAACACATAATCTGTTCATCAGTTAATACATCCATTATTCATATTGATAATGATAATGAGGTTTGTTCTCGAGATTATGTGTTCGAATGAAATAATTCATCCTCATTATGTTTCTAGGTTTGTCATCATCACACACGTGCTCGTTAGTTTCAACAAGGTGGTAAACGTCGAAGATCTGCATCAGGTCGGGTTTGCCTCCCTATTCAAGCTGGCACGCAGTCATATAGCTGAAATAGTGTTCAAAGCGGCGTTAAAGCCAACTCACTACCTCGGAATGCCGGTATGGATTAGTGAGTGAGTGAGTGAGTATGGTTTTACGCCGCTTTTAGCAATATTCCAGCAATATCACGGCGGGGACACCAGAAATGGGCTTCACACATTGTACCCATGTCGGGAATCGAACCCTGGTCTTCGGCGTGACGAGATAACGCTTTGACCACTAGGCTACCCGACCGCCCCCGGTATGGATTAAGATTAGCGATATTTACACAGGAGGGATGGCCGTTACAACTTAAATCTTCTTTATCTGTATAATGTAATGAAAGCTGAACTAAACGCGTCAGCTTCAGGATTTATCGTGCGTCAAATCTAATAGTTGTGTGATGTTTTAAAAAATGTGTAATACATCTGTATCCGAGCGCCCCCGTAGGTGCAGACACTGTGCTAATGGACCATGTAGACTTCCTGGCTTTTCATAAATCTAAATGTCACGTCGAGCCTTCACTCTACTTTTCATATGTCACGAAAGGTCGTTCCATAACCTTTGTAAGAACAGATAGGAATTGAATTTAAATACCGAATCAAAGGATACTGGCGACACACTAAACCAATGTGGCAAATGCATTAGCACAATTTAATTAATAATTCCTAAATTGTCTAGTGTTTCTTCTCACGATTGGCGAAAATTTGTTATTTTTTCTTGTCACAGTGTAGAATTTTATATTCACGGGAGTTAAAGTCATACCGCGTGTTAATCGCAAGCAGTGGACTAATTCTATACATCTTACATATTTGACAGTGTTGGAAACTACTGTGATAATTTTGCATAGACGATACCACACTGTATATATAAACAAAGCGCGACGTCAGTATGTTCTCCGTGATGGCGGAATTTGCATGTCAATGTCTGACGGTGTCATTGTCAGCTATGTTATGGCGACCTATAAATAATTGAGTTGGTTTAATGCAAACGAGTGGTTGACAGCACGAGGCTAAACGATCACTGTCATCGAGTCAGGATGCCGCCCAGACCAGTAATACGCTGTAACCACCCGGTCCTCCATGGTCGACTATTACAACAAGCATGGATTCTGAGTAGGGCTGGGACAAGTCCAAATTTACAACCCGGGTACCCACCCTCCTATTACCCGACCCTACCCGGGTTCCCGCTCAAGGTCTCGAGAGATAGGTCCAAATGTCCGACTGGGAATAGTTTGACCGTAGCCCTGGCAAAATGTATTTAGATACTCGTATAAAACTATCTGATCATGCATAGACTGAAGTTGACTGAAGTTTTATCTTTATGCAAACATATAAAGTCAGAAGGAATGCAAACATTCTAAAGTTCTACATACTTTTTGTCATGAAGCAATATATCACTTGATTAACCACGGGTCCGGGTAGTCCTGTGTGTACCCGGATCCTACTCAATACCGACCCGATCCGAGACCCCGAGTTACCCGTCCCAGCCCTAATTCTGAAGACCTATTCTGTGCTGGAATAACCTCGGGGGTCAGTGTTAACGTTGCCCGTTAAATCCCCTTAATGTATTAGTGAGATGCGGTAATGACGGACATGTGTGTCGTTTATTGTCGACCCTAGAGCAGAAAGATTTCAATACCAGACTATACATAAACTTGTTTAAATGTCAATACATCCTCATTTCTAAAATTGTACTTCACCCATGTCATTAAAACTTTCATTTCAATCTATCTCCATAATGCTTATCATTGTACCCAATCTCATTAAATTCAGATGTTATGCTCTGACAGAATACATCTCTACGTGAAGATCTGATGAACCCTCGATGGCAGGTTGCGCCAGGTTAACGTTCTGAAAAACCAATCGGCGTCGAGGCTTCTACATTATCTGTATAAATCAGCGAAGCATTCAGACAAGCGTATCCGTGTGCGAAATACGCATCAGTCGGAAAGCGCACGTTAAATCTCCAAAGTAAGTAAGTAAGTAAGACAAGCGTATCTGATTTCATTGTCTCGAACTTATTCAGCCTGTTCCGAATATAAAAATATAGGGACCGCGCAATTTTATACTTGTGGATGTGTCGTTTCTGAGCGCCATTGCATATACATCCCAAAGGGTGCATTATGGGTTGTATTTTTGTGTTTTGTGGTGGTTTTCTTTGGCTAAGACCGAAATTTCCGAATCGAGGTGCCACAAAAATGAAGCTGATTCGTTTAAGAAAGCTGACATCTTGTCTGGCTCAAGGAACCCACAAAACCTTCGTTTTGATTAGGCCGTAAAGGGTCACTAAGTGTGCAATGAGATGTTAACATCACTTTCGAAATGATATTGCTGGAATATTGCTTAAAACGGCGTAAAACCAACTCCCCAACCCATTGTTGATATAATATGTACATGTACAATAAAACGTATTTAGTATAAATTGTGTAACATCAACATCATGTACTATGAACTGGACTTTGAATTAAACTGTAATAAGAGTTAATGGGTGAGTGGACCCGTGAAGATCCGGGGTAGAATAGGTCTTCAGCAACCCATGCTTGCAGTAAAAGGCGACTATGCTTGTCGCAAGAGGCGACTGACGGGATCGGGTGGTCAGCCTCGCTGATATAATTGATGCATGTCATCGATCCCAATTGCGTGGATCGATGCTCAAGATATTAATCACTGGATTGTCTGGTCCAGACTCGATTATTTACAGACCGCCGTCATTTAGCTGGAATATTGCTGAGTGCGGCGATAAACAACAAACAATCAAACAATGATGAGTGAGTGAGTATGGTTTTACCAGGGAACTAGTTACAACTTTTAACGTTATATCATAAGACAAGAAGGTCAACGTAAAATGATAATTATTATCGAAAAAAATATATTGTCCCAGAGAAAGTTTGAAACAAATAATTAAGCTTTCGACTTTTGAACAAAATAGAGATTGCATGCACAAAAAATACATTGTTGCAAGATGTTTCCTTTAAAAGGAATCAGGCTCATGGTTTTAAATAAAAGAAATATCGGTTTTGTAGCTGTAGCTGAAATATATCTGATCTCGATACAAAATCCCAGACCTTATTATTATTATTAATACAAATGCTGTTTTCGTACTGAAACGATTTCTTGAATAGGATATTTTGGGCATCATTTGACTATGAGTTTGGCGTTGTGGATTTCGAATTGACTTTTTTGTATAGCCATCTGTCGATTGTACTAGCGTCCCATTGGGCTTGCCATTTTGCTTGTGTCTGTGTTTTTCATTACAATGGATGTTGCTGTTGGACGAGAAGCAAACATAGCACCACCTGTTCAGATAGTTCTGTAACCCGTGAAG